TAAAATGACAAAGCGTTAATATATACTTTGTTGAATACATTAATACAAGTAAGGCCAAATAAAAATTGTAGAACAAAAAGTAATAAAGTTCAATGCTCCCATGGAAAACTAAACAAAAAATGCTTTTTAGAATGAGTTAAGTGCTGGGCTGTCACCTCCTTCTAACCAACGCCCCAAAAGCAAATATCCTGTGGGGATATGCTAGCCACACCTTTGCCTGCAATCAAAGCCAAAGTCAACGCCCAGGCTTTTGACCCCGACTTTGGACTGACAACTTAATTGTGGTTCCCAGGCAAACAAGCTCTATTTTTCGCGGCGAACTTTCAACGCGACCAATCCCAATGACAACAGCATTAATAATTCAATTTCGTGACGGAAGCGGAACCGGATGAGGAACAGGGAACACGGAACTGGGCGCGTTCCCCCCGCCTCAAACTCCGTTGTCTCAATATTTGGCAATTACTTGGCCTAAACCTGTGGCAGGTGCATAACCCCCGCCACTTGGTTGAAAGCGATATCCCAGCCTAATCCGTTTAACCTCCATGTCAACTGGGTCTGTTATGACCCGTCGGCAGACGCAATCTAAATTACCTTACTCTTGGTTTGGGCTTAGCTTGGGCGCCCCAGGATGTGTCGTCACATCCTGTCACAGGGCTAAAGTGTCGTTTTAATAAGCGTTTCGCAGCCTCACCTTTGTGTTTGTGTGCGGGTGATGGCCTTGTTTTCATTTTTGCTAATGGCCCACAAGTTGGCCATTGTAAATCCGACCTAAGACTTACGGCTCTCCATCCTGGTGATGATGTCCTCAGCCCAAGTTTGCCAAGGACATTAACCTGTATGTGGGATGGCCGAAGTGGCTCCTTTGGGGACTGCCTCGTAATGCATTCCAGCAAATGATCTTATTAGGCTTTGGCTACAAAAGGAGGGATGAATGGGGTAATTTCCGTTACGAAATTGCAAAATCTAGGCACTTAAAGAGTAGCTATTGAGCCGAGCGTGTTATAAAGTGTGTACCCATTGAAAATTTACCAACAAATTTCAAAGAACTTTGGCCAAAAGCACTAATCTCTGGCTGTGGCAGAAACTCGATCGATTACCCTCAAATACGTTCTGTTAATGCTTTTCTAAGAGGCCAGCTAAAAGCTGGGAACTATGGCTCGAATGTGTGTTCCATATACAGCTCAATTTTCGAAAGCAATCCTCGGGGGTGGATAAGCACAAATGCGTTAAGCAATTTGTAAATGTAACTAACAGATACAAATCTGAAGGGAATGCGTGGCCGTGGCCAGGAAAAGAAGAAAGCACATAATCAAAATTAAAATAAGAATCTCATCGCTCAGCCGCAGACACAGAGAGATACATTCCAAGAGATATGACACTGGGAACAAACGACCCAAACAAATTACACATTTTCCCCAGCTTTATTGTTGGCAATTTATTCGCAGCTAAATTGAAATACACACCATTTACCTGAAGACAACAACGCACAGCCGCTGACTCTCGGTGACATTGACAAACTGGAAGAGCGAAATGGAAATGGGGGCAGTTGGGTTTAGTTGGCTTGCTCCAGATCGTGACATCATCCCAAGTTGCCCTCCAGTAACTGTTGGGGTCAAAGGCAGGACAGGCCGCGGCGGTTTGACATTTTTTGAGTCCTGAAACAAATTCCATTAAAAATATCAGATTCGATCATCTTGTTAATTAAACCCTAGCGGGAAAAACTCGATTTTCAGAATTTTAAAGGTTTTCTTTTGATGTTGGTTTTCAAAATACTCTTTTTAATTTTGAGTCTAACTAAATTTAGTTTAAAACGTAGTTTATTAAAACAAATTATAGTTCTTCCTATAAATTTATTCATGTAACTTGAATTCCTAAAGGGAACATTTTCTTAAATTTTTTTAAATTAACAGAAAAACAAACTTTCTAATAACATACTTAACAAAAACATTTCTACAACCACCTGAATTCTGAGAGGATTTGTGTGAGCGGAGTGGCCACATATCCTTGTGTACTATAGAACCTACCCGACAAACTTCAAATCTAAGGCTCAATTGGCGTGCTGAATGAATGGCCCTGGCCCGGCAGAGTTTTTGATTTTAATTTAGATAAAGTGCGCTATGGAAATCAGTTTCGCTGTAACTTTCCCCGTTTATCCGGGCTAAAATCGGGCCCAGACAACTAAACACTCCATAAATACAACAACAACAACAACAACAGAGGGGGCGGGGCAAATCGGGGGCGAGCTTAAGGTAAGCTGTAAATTGCACGCTTTCATGTAGATAATTAATCACCGCGAGCATTCGGTTCAGGTGCTCCTGTTGTGGAAAACGAAACTCTTCCACTTGCCATTGAAGATTTGGTTTTGCGGCGAATGTAAATGCAGTTTCATGCAAATTTATTCCTGATCTTATCCGTATAATTTTAACTTCACAATGCTAACGCTGAGCCTTTGTGCTGTCCGAGATTTATTGTTGGCGCCATTTTCGGAGGCATTCGCGGAAGTCAAATCAATTATACGCCCTGTTGGGCACTGGATGTACGAAAGGAAATTGAAATTATTTGATATAAATGAATGTAATTAAGCATTCGGCTAAGCTCGATGAGGGATTAGTGTTTAAATGAAATTAAACATAGTTCAGGTGGAGAATCAGAAAATATGATAATTTTGTCACTTTAATGTGAACATTTTTACAAAGTTTATTAAATTTGTTTTACATTGCAGTTAAATTTTTGAAACGATTTCAGCATTTTATATTGAAATATTCTATTTTATTATTGTGAGAAAATTCACTTCTCGTACTAAATCAAATGGAATTCCCATTGATTTAAAATAAAAGAAATTTCTCGAGCAAAGTAAACACATTTATAAAGTATACACTTCCACATATTTCCGCCTTTCTAGACTCTGGCCATTGCTAAGAAACAATCAACCCCAACAACGAGGATAAAAGTACTCGAAATTCAATCGCCGGAGCAGCTGGGACTTGGATTGGGAAACTTTGGACCTCCACGTGCATTTCTGAGAGCGTTTGGCATTGCAAATGGGAAAATATTTAAATGTAACTTAATTTCGAACGCAATATGTACTCCTCGGACCGAGAGCATGTCCTTCTTCCGTAATACAGGATATTTTGATTTGATTTATTTATAAGTTCAATTTGTGCACATTATTTTTCCAATATTAAGCTTTGATGCGAATGCAGTCGAGGCGACTCGGGTCCATCAGGGAATGCAAACGAAAATCAATTCAATTTGCCAGTTGGCAAGTGCAAAGTGAATGCCAAATGAAGATGACTAATATTCGTGACGATGGAGGGATAAAGCCCTAGCCCGAGAACCATCTTCTTGAAGGAAACTGAAACAAGGCCAGAACTCTTCCACACATCGCAAAAAGTTGTGTCCTTTGCATTAACAACCTCAAGTTCTCCTTGTCGAGCTGGAAAACTTGTTGGAAAAATGCAAGCAGACGAACAATTGCCGGCGTAAATAAAAGAGAGGGACTTTTCTTGTGAGCTGTTTCTTCAGTTGCTGCACATAATTACATGAAAAGAAAATTAGTGTCGAGATTCGCCTTGAGCGCCTCTCCAGGTGAAAACTTTTAATGAGCAATTTTCTCACAAATTCCCAAGTGTTGCCGCATTTAATTTTTTAATGAAAGAATTTCTTTTGGCCGCAAAAAAGGAGAGTGTGGGAAAATCTGGCTACCACTTTCCCTTTGAACTCTTCAATCAGTTTCGGCTTCATTTAGGACTCGCATATCTCTTCATCCCTTTGCCTGTTTTCGGAGTGCGTAATTGGGGGAGTGAGTGGGTGTGGATGTGGTTGATGGGCAGTGGGCCATCTAGGTGTTTGTTTTTATTTATCGGCGGCACAGAGCGAGCCCTGACCCATGTTAATGGCCGATTGACACGCCACTTGGCCTTGATGGGGCTTTTAGCCCGGCTAGCACTTGACTGCTGCTCCCCGAAAACAGACGAAATGCTTCTGCTGCTCCACACTTTCACAGGATTAATGGTGGGGGAAAGTGCTCGGCTGGGGGATTCCCATACTCAACCAACGAGGTGCTAAGCGAGCGTGCTGATTGCTGCCATTTTTGATAAGGAGTCCGCATTAATATTTCCCTTGCGTTGGTTCCTACCGTTTTGTCCAGCCCGCTGATATATAGACTACAGTGGCCCATTAGCACCACCAACTTCACACCTAGTATTGAAGATAAATTAGGAAGTAAAATGCAATTAAAACAAAATTATTACAAAAACAAGTTCTGATCTGTAACTCCTGAGTTTTCTTTTGGTCTCTGATCTATAAGTCAAGAATGATTACCATTTTGTTTTAGAAAAATTAACCAAAAAATCAGAATTTACCCCAGTAACAAGCGGAGTTCATTCACTATTTCAGAACGAAGAAATAATCCAGGGATGGCCGACTACACCGACCTGTTTAGGTGCCACAAAGGCAGTGATAATCTTATCTGAGGAGACCGCACCCTGCTAAGAGAACGTTTCCTGCCAGACAAGATGACAGCCGCATAAACATGCAAATAAAAGAGCCGTTTGGTGTATTTCCATATTCATAAATCTGCTGGCCTGTAGAATTCGACAAGCCACGTTCATAAATCGACATTTCACAGAACCGAAGGACTTGTGGGTGGGTTCAAGCCACGTCCGAAGGTTGCCTTCCGACTAAATCAAGTGTATGTTCGGTGTCAGTTTAATTGCAAACGTAAATTGGATGCTGTCATTTGCTACGTTTTCATTTGTTCGAAAGTTGCCCAGCCCTCCTGCTTTCTGAATGAATCTGTACAGCACCCCTGGCAGTTTCCATTGACTTTTGCTGCCATCTGCTCTGACGGACATTTCTGCCAGCTGCTCCAGAATCTGGCAACTCGAATCTGCCCAGAATGCAAACGTTGCACAAATCCCAGTTTTGTTAATTGGACTCATTTTGGTAGCTGGCAGATTGTGTATTTTAAATTGGCATTTGTGACAGGCCACTAGAAGGCCAGGAGTTTTTATTCAACATACAACATGGTGTGCGGCCTGTAGTTCTAGCCAATATCTACTTCGCTATCTTCTTTGTTGGCCCGTTTCATGATATTCTCCTTTTGGACATCCCAGTCGTAGATCCTGTCGTTGTCGTAATTTAGGCGGTACAGCAAAGCTATGAAGGCACGTTGAATTTTCTTATAGCACGGCTCCTCCTCGAAGCTTAAGGTCCGGCTGTAGCTGACAAAGTGGTAGAACTCTTCGGGATACCCACAGCACAGGATCTCCGGGGGCGTTGAGAGTTTCTTTTCGGCGATTATCTCGTGCTTCTGCTGCTTGGTACTGGCAAAGATGCCCTGCCAGGGCAGGCTGCCCCTAAGCAGGTACATGAGAACGTAGCTTAAAGACTCCAAATCATCACGCCGTGACTGAACGCCTCCTTGCATGGCATTAATGGACGCGTAGCGGGCAGTGCCGGTCATTCTGCCTCCGGTCTTGTGCTGCACATGCTTGTTTTCTACCTCATCCCAGTATTTCTTGGCCAATCCAAAGTCGATAAGATAAAGCCGGTCCTTGTTAACACCGCGACCCATCAGAAAGTTTTCCGGCTTGATGTCGCGATGCAGGATGTTGTGTGAGTGCACGTACTCCAGGCGCTCGACCATCTGCTCCGCCAGCATGACCACTGTCTTTACAGAAAGGCGATTTTGGCACACGGTGAACAGATCCCCCAAAGATGGACCGAGTAGTTCCATTACCATCACATTGTACCGCGACGCTTTGAGAAACTCGTAGACCTGCGGGATTCCCAGTCCATGGCGCAGGTTATTGTATAGTTTGTACTCAAAAAGCAACTGCGGTGTTATGATATCACTTCGCTCTACTTTCATGGCCACGCGGGCGCCCGATTTCTTGTGCTGGGCCTTGTAGATTTCCCCAAAGGATCCGAAGCCCATCTTGGGACCTATTACGTAGTCGTTCATATTCGCCGAGAGATCCATATTACAGTTCCCTATCTTAAAGCTCCTTTTTACAGCAAAACTAATATTTTATTTTCGATACTTTTCACACGAAGTTGTTATTGCTATCGATAATTTTGTTTCTGTTTGGTACGGTCACACTGTAAAGCCTCGGGGTATTCGGGGATAAATTTGTAATGAAAAAGAACTTAAATCATTGTCAAGACCTTCATAGCTTTACGTGTCAAACAATTTAACTTAAGAAAAATCGTTGGAATAAAAACTGAAATCCAATATGTCTGCAGCAAAAAATAATCGATTAAGCCTTTCATTTTCCCAGGAGTTTAAACTAATGCGTTCCGAATACGAAGTGAGAGTAACCCAACTAGAAAAAGAAGTTTACGAGTGCTGCCGAATTTTGAATAAAATCCCAAGAACTGAAGACGACCTGAAAAGCAGTACTTCAAGAACCAACCACTCGGAAAATACAAATTTGGTTTTGTGGGAGTTCAATATGCAAGGAATCCCGGTGGAGAACATATCCATCCAGCTCCGGGACAATCACGTTTATCTTAAGGCCTTTAAGAAGAATCGGGATATAGAACAAGATATACTAATGCCCCAAAATGCGGATAAGTCAAAAATAACGGCAACTTTGAGACCGCACGGCACTCTAACCATATCTGCTCCAATATTTCAGATACCAGATTATTAGGGGCTTTTGTTTTATGATACGTAATTTATTTAATGATTTTCTTTGTTTTATGCTTAAATAATTTGTGTTGGTAATCGTTTTAACGATTTTTAATCTGTAGATCCGCTGAGTCCTAAAATGTATATTTTAATAAATTTTAATGAAAACAATTAGTACTACAACTTACTGTAAATATGCTGAGTCTCAGCTTTAAGACACAGTCCAGCTGGAAAAAAAAAGAAAACTAAGTTACATAAAATATAAGACCCGATTTATCCTAAATACCATTCATCAGAAAGGTGGCTGTGCCCTATTTTAATAAATTTTAATGAAAACAATTAGTACTACAACTTACTGTAAATATGCTGAGTCTCAGCTTTAAGACACAGTCCAGCTGAAAAAAAAAAAGAAAACTAAGTTACATAAAATATAAGACCCGATTTATCCTAAATACCATTCATCAGAAAGGTGGCTGTGCCCTAGAGCAAGGTGCCCAGCAAACTACAGACTCCGGTCTACGGAAAAGATTTGAACTGAGATCAGAGCTGGGCTGGCACATGGTTTCAGGAACACAGGGAAATATCATGATGTGCGGAGTGGGTCGAAGAAACGGGGCCTGGGGCTCCATTTGCTGTTCGGCTCTAAAGCTTTGCAACAGCTCTCGTTTCAGTTCCTCCACTATGCTCCTCCGGTGCATGGACTCCCCATCCCAGCTGTTACTTATCAACTTTGGGCAACACAGATCCCCTCGGATAGTGGACTCTGTTATATCCGGATTTGGCATTGCTGTGAAACTGCTGGCATATTCACTCTGCGGATCACATGAGCATTGTGGATCAGGATCAGGATAACAAACCATCTGCATGTTTTTCGGGTTTCGGTTAATATCGCTCGTATTGTCCTTTTGCGAGGAAATGCCGGAGCATTTACTAATCGTAGACTCGGAACTTTTACTTGTGGTCTTGGGCATTAATTCCGACTTTGAGAATTGAGTTTTTCGGATTGGAATTGCTGGAATGCTTCTAGAACTTTGTCTCGGCCAACTCTTAGTTTTTCTTGGAGAGAGTTTTACTGTTCTATCTTCGTCAAATTGAAAATTGTGACTCTGCGATCGGTGGCATTTATTACGATCAGTATGGTGTGTATCTGGTTTTTTCCCTGAGCAAACCGATTTATTGCTACAGCTAGACCCGCTAACTAAACTGTTAGAGCTGTTTGTTTTCAGGAACACCTTTTTGGGTGGCGACAGCCTTCCGAGGCTGTTATTTACGGCTTTAAGGCTTGATCGCTTCTTTACGTCGCTTTGCACCATGGTCGGGGGTCTGGAACACAGTTCAATAGCATTCGCTTGGCACAAGCCAGGTCGAGAAGGTCTAGCACAATTGTTTTCTAGTTTATCGGGAGTCTTACTATTTCCGGATCCTGGTTGAGTGTTGGAAATCTTCGACTGACGAGACAAGCTCCATTTGGAGCTGATGCGATGGCGTGGGCAAAGGTTCTGGGAAGGTATTTCTCTAATCACCTCTGGTAGCTTTGAAAGGGCTTCAATACTTTTCCTATTGCAGAGATCCTTTAGACAAAAACTGCTCCTTGAACTGTTTGTTGAAGCTGTGGAGGAGCAACTGTTACGAGCGGAGTCCGTTGGAGATCGAACATTTGTAAATTTGTTTTTCTGACTAGCGCTTGAATCACTTCCACATACTGTGCTACCACTTTCCTGCCTTGGCAATGAACGAGTATCTGGTCTTATTACGCTTATTTTGACATCCTCCTTGCTGATGTGGGTATTGCTTTGCCAGGACAACCCATTGCTCCTTACGACTTTGGATGATACAATCCTGGGAATGCCTGTCAAGCTCACATCTGTTGCCCGAATTGTGAGGCAAACATTTATTTCACTTCCTTTATCTCCACTGTACAGGCTGCAATTCCCGCTGGACACGCGTTTGTATACTTTGTAGGAACTCTTTAGGTCAGATTTGGGCCTGAAATATTGACAGGTTCGTTTACTTAATCCCAGATCGAAGTGGGTATTATCATCGCTATTTACCTTCGAACGTTGGTTAGTTGAACTCAAAATATTGAACATCGAGTACCGATGGTATACATCATTATCATTTTCAGGTAACTGATTGCTGTTGCCCCTGTAAACAGTGGGATAATGGCATGCCTTGCCAATCTTTGTACCACACCTTTGGGATTCATTTTCCAAGTGCGGATTCTTGATTTTTTGTTGCCCCAAGGATTGGTTACTTGTTTTGGGAGAGTCCAAGCTACAGTCGGGTGATCCATTCTTTCTAAATTCCATGTGATCACAATTTAGATGACGTTGTACTGGCTTACCATTTTTCAAAACTTTTGATTTGTTTCTAAAAACTTTGGATCTCGTTAAGCGAAGTTTTGACCTTTTAAAAAACCCGGATATTTTTTGCTTCAGTGTTTTTCGTTTTCGTTCTCTGCCAATATCATAGAGTGATGCTTTTGCTTTAAATTGCTTAAAGGCAGGGCTAAAATTACGAGCCAACGTATCGCATCCCGAATCCGATCTTGTTGGTATATAGTCACTCCTCTTGGGATAGGAATACCTCCGTTCTTTCTTTTTATAGGGTATCTCGATAGTAAAGAATATTGACGATGGGGATTTGGTGTTTTCATGAACTTTATACGGAATATCTGAGCCATCGTTTAAGTCCTTAAATCTTTCAAACTCTACAGATTTCTTTTGACCCTTCAAAGTTTTACGATATCTGCGAGTTCCGAGACTATCATAATCTGGCCAAGATTTATCTATATATTTGAGATTATCATAAGCCCGTAAAGATTTATCTATAAATTCAGCAGGTTCTGTTCTTAATTTTTCTAAAGGTCTTCGCGTTTCACCATTGCCCTTGTGATAATTTTTGTGAGGTTCTTCTTCCTTAAAGAATGTTCTATAATTCCTTGGGGTAGACTGCTCTGCATTGGTATAAACTTTGGGTTCCTCTTGGTGCTTATATTTCTTGGGAGAAGGAATTCGGTATATATCTTTTGATATTTTATTGTATTTCATCGGAACATCTCTAGTCTCCTTGATGTGGTTGCAACTTTTCCTGGGTGGAATTTTCTCTGCCTGGTAAAATCGCGAATTTCTATTTATTTTTTCTGGCCGAGTTTCGGGTTCCTTATAAGGCGAAACATTCTTTTCTTTTATTTTAGGCTCTCTTTGTGACTTGTAAATCTTTGTTGGATAACTTGACGGATCAGTTATATCCTTGTTCATAGATGACCTAACATAATTTTTGTAATTTTTAGGTTTTGGAAAGGGAACCGGAGGTGGAATCTTTCGTGTTTGTTTCCTCATATTCTGGGTGATCGTAGTTGGGATATTCTTCATATTGATTTTTATAATTTTCAGGTGCTTGCTCCTCGTAATATTCTTCGTAATTTTTAGTTGGCCTATGGTCTCCGTCAAATTCATTATTATTTTCATATTCATTGTAGTCACGAGGATAATAATTTAAAGCATAATCGGGTGGCATAGACCCTGAAGCTTGTCTGTACTCGTAATTTCGGTTGGGTCTATAAGACTTTTGTCGTGGCATAGTTTCTCTATAGTAATTTTGAGGAGGTTCTTCCAGGCAACGATAATATCTTCCATGTGGTTGCGATGAGCCAGAAACTTTATAATATCTTCGTCTTGGCCTTGGCTCATTCGAATAGAAATCGTAGGGACTTTCATATCTGGAATCAGAATATTTATCAGACTTATATCTGGAACCTTCCATTTCATCAGGAAAATCGGTAGATAAAGCAATTCTATTGCTGGGCTCATATTCCTCGGCATCATATAATTCGTTTTGATAATAATTATCGTATGCTTTTTCAGGGTCGTAGTCGGGATTATGGTTATACCTCCTGGCATTGTCATAATAACCCGTAGATTCGGCCGACGGGGATGGTGAAACTATGCCTGCTTCGAAACGACCGCGTCCTGGCTTAATTGTTCTATAATGAAAGTGACGACGACCGCCGCAGTGGGCAGAGTTATCTACTCGTCGGTCAGGGGGACGTCGCCTATAGTTATCATGATCGAAATCACCATGGCCGTGGGCATAGAATTTATTCGGTGCCTCAAATGACATCGCACTCTCCGTAATTGGATTGCTCAAACCTCCGCCGGGAGTTCGTCCTGTATTTGTGTATATGTTCGAGTTAGTGAACGTTTGGCAAATGTCGTTAATCAACTCACGCTTCCCATTGCAATCCGAAGTCCTTGGCGCCGTAATCTCGTTTCGACGGTCACAGTACACTGCGCCCGAAATATCGACATTGAAAAGGATTAATGTCCGCTTCCATTCATCCTCCTTCTTGGTGCCCTCAAATCGGATTAAACTCTGATTCGTCACTGTAAATGTCATTTTCACCAGCCCCGGAACTCATGCTCCCCTGCATTCGCCACTAACTGAACTGCAAATTTAATTCATATCGATTTATTGTTTATGTCAGTTGGCTCGGTTTTTTTGATACTCTTCTCAAATATGTACATGTGCCTAAATTAATTATCACTTCGATTCCATTTGATTTGAAAGGACCAATGAGAACTGTTTTATATTTTTGATAAAATAATCGACAATTTATTGCTAAAAAAAATATAAAACATTTTGGGGAAAACAAAGGCCAGGACTTTAGGAAATAAACGTATATTCTATGTGGCTTTTCGACGGCCTTCGCCATGAATTTTAAAAAGATCCCACAGTCAAGGTAAATACTGGGTCCAGCGACCCATTTTATTATCCCACCGAATGCCATTAACTTTCGCTTCCTTCGCTGTTTGCAGCTCCCGAATTTAATTGCGGGATAAATGCCTGAAATGGCAAACACAAAGGATGTGCGAATGGGAATGGGATGGGGAATCTGGATGAGGATGGAATGGTCGTCATTACTTGAAGGGTGCTAGAAAATATGTTTTTAATTGCGGAAATATTTCCATTTCACAAATAGATGCGATAATTATTCAGAATGGCGCGAATTTCCATCACATTAAAAGTGCAGACAATGGGGGATAGTAAAATGCAGCTAGCGGATAATGAAAATCGTGTTCAAGTGCGGAAATGCTGAAAATTATTTCAATGAAACACAACTAAGTGCTTTTTAAGTGCCCCCGACGGTGGCACAAACCAAACGGAAATGGACGCAGACGGGATTGGTTGGGTGTTTGGCTTGCATGGTTTACAGATGGGTGATGGGGGGCATGGTGACAGGACACGCAGGACACTTACGACCCCCGAACAATAAAAAGTGCAATGGAAAGCGTCAGATGCATGGTATTCTATAGGGTATGGATGCCTACTCTCCTTTAGCATCTTACACTTTTGATTTTTATTGATTAATCTCTTATATTATGGATAAGTTAATTTGGATATTAGAAAACTTAAAAATCCAAATGATCATAATTGTTTTTAAAAAGTGGCTAAGAAGGCTGGTGAAACATTACTCAAATTACTACTAAGACATAGGAATTCGCTCATAAAGCAGTATTCAAAATGGAAACGGTTTTGGGTATTAAGGGAACTGATTACGTCATACTGGCCTCAGATACCATGAAAGCCAAGTCTGTGATGTGGCTGGATGATGGTAAGAAGGCAGAAAATTGATCATCATCTATAATATAAAATATCTACAGACAAATCGAAGATATACCGCTTGACGGATTACTCTATTATGTCGGCCGTAGGCGATGGCGGAGATTGTCTGCAGTTCTCTGACTTTATCGCCCGGAATTTGGACCTCTATAAGGTGACCAACGGCTACGACTTAACCTTCCGTGGAACTGTGCACTTCATAAGAAACAATTTGAGCGCCTATCTCAGGAGCAACGCCCGATACCAGGTTTCCCTCTTGGTCGCCGGATTTGATCCCTGTAACGGTCCAGAGTTGTTCTACATCGATCAGTTGGGCAACACGGTTCCTACTCGCTTTGGTGGCCATGGAACTGGCATTAACTTTTGTACTGCCATATTGGAGGAGTTCTACAAGCCCCAGATGGATAAAATGGCTGCCTACAATTTGATTCAAAAATGTGTTCTCGAGATTCAAAAGAGAATCGTTATCAACTTGCGCAACTTTGATGTGTTCATGATAAGCAAGGAGGGCATTACCAAGCTAAGTCCTATCAACCAGCAGTCCTTGAGGGCTCGAATGATGGGTAGTCACCCTCCTGTGAAGGGTTAAGGCTGGAAATATTATTCGGATGTCTATATATTTTTTAGTTTTTCATTTATTTGTTAAATAATTAATGACTCTTAAAGATTTTGCTTTAGATATTGAAAATAATATGTGAAACTTTTTAAACTTTTGTGCAAAATTGATTTCTTTTTAATTTTCTCAATTGCCTTAATCAATAAAGTAATTATAAAAAGTATTTTCCTAAATAGGACTGAAAAAAGGTGTCACTTTTCCCAAGATTTTGACCTTCCACCCCATGATAATTATTTAATTTGTCAGCTAACTCCTAGATAATTGTAGAGAGAACCATAGCGCCATAGAAAGGTGCTATAAAATAGACAAGCACCTTCCAAAACGTAATTAGTAGAAAGAAACCAGGAGACCAGGATGAAGCTCAGCGAGACTCTAAAGATCGTCTACTTTCGTGACCAGCTTTTCATTTGGCGGATTTGTGGCGCCATGAATCTCAGCGAAGGGAACTTCTGCAGTTGGGCTCTGCTTTTCTGCGTCTTTATGTACCTGCCAACGCCCATGTTGCTAAAGGTACTGTTCAGCTTTGATAGTCCATTGGACAATAACTTCAACCTCTGCATGTCAATCACATCGCTGTCCAATGCATTGAAGTTTTCTATATACGCGGCCCAACTAAAAAAAATTGTTGAGATACAAGCACTAATTGCCAAGCTAGATGATCGGGTTTCTGAGGAGGATCAGGAACTGCGACATAGACAAATGTCCGTGCACCTGCGAAATATATCAAAACTATTCGTAGTTTCTTATAGCCTCCTGCTCATCAACGCTGCAGTTCCTTTTCTTTTTAACAGTGAACGTAGTTTGCCGATACCAATGTGGTTTCCCTTTGACTGGAAAACCTCAACTACGGCCTACATAGCAGCTGTGTTTTTTCAAGAAGTAGCCCTTGTTTTTCATACTATCCAGAACTTTTCAGGGGACTCCTTTCCTCCCCTAGCTTTGTTCCTGGTTTCCGAGCAATGTCAGTTGCTGATCTTAAGGATTTCTGAAATAGGATATGGTTCCAAGACCTTGAAGGCGAATGAACAGGAGCTAGTCAATTGCATCAAAGACCAAAACACACTCTACAGGTAATCTTTCAATTAGCTTTTCTATAACCAAGATATTGATATTTTCATATACCTTCTAAAGATTATTAGACGTCGTTCACAGCCTTATTTCGTATCCCATGATGGTCCAGTTCCTCGTTATTGGCTTTGACATCGCTATCACTTTGATTAATATAATTTTCTTTGTGGAAACCATGTCGGATAGAATTTTCCATATGAGCTTTCTGTTAGTTATCACCTTGCAGACATATCCCTTGTGCTATTATGGAACCATGGTGGAGGAGAGCTTTGCAGACCTCCACTACGCTATCTTCTGTAGCAACTGGGTGGACCAGAGTTCAACCTATCGCGGATTAATGCTAATCATGTCGGAGCGCACCAAGCGAAGGCAGCTCCTCCTCGCCGGCAACGTGGTGCCCATTCACTTGAGCACTTTTGTGGCCTGCTGCAAGGGAGCCTACTCTTTTTTCACCCTGATGACTGACTGAGATCGTCAGGTTTTTAGAGTTCAAGCAGTTATTACGTAGTAAGATAGTAGCACCGCACACGAGTAATATATTATTTAGGCTGAGCTTAGACAAAACGAGAGCATAAATAAATTAGTAACCAGCAAAGAGTAAAGGCTTTATATAAATGTCAGAATGGATTCTTTCATTTTTGGATTATTTGCAAAAGTAAATGTAATTTAATTTCCTTGATTAGGAAGTGCGTTGTGAATATGCAAAAAAAACGTGTTCCCTTTCCCAAAATTAGAAACTTTAATTATATTCGACCTTCTACCCCACGGTAATTATTTAATTGCCGATACGCAACCCCTCGATAATTAAGCAATTAGCTAGGAAAGGTGCAATATAAAGGCCAAGTCCTGTCATAACCAAATCAGTTAAAGAAAACCAGAAAGGAGATAAAATGGAGCTAAGCAAGAACCTAAGGATCGATTACTTTCGTAATCAGTTGATTGCCTGGCGAATTTGTGGTGCCGTTGATCTCAGCAAAGGGAACTACTGGAGCTGGGCTATGTTCCTCGTTATCTTTGTGTACTTACCGACGCCGATGTTAATGAAGGTCCTGTTTAGCTATGAAGATCCTTTGGATAATAACTTTAACTTTAGCCTGACGATTACATCCTTGTCCAATTTCTTGAAATTCTCAATTTACACGGCCAAACTTACCAAAATTCTAGAAATTCAGAAGCTTATTGCCCAGCTAGATGCTCGGGTTTCTGGAAAGGAACAGGAACTGAAACATCGATACATTTTTCAGCACACACAAAGAATGTCGAAAATGTTCCTGGTCACCTACACCATTGTGTTTATCAACGCTGCCGTTCCATTTGTTTTCGAAAGCGAGCGCAGTCTGCCTCTACCCATGTGGATTCCCTTCGATTGGAAAAACTCAATAGTGGCCTACATTGCTGCCTTGGCTTTCCAGGAGATAGGAATATTCTTTCAAATCTTGCAGAACTATCCAGGGAGACTCCTTTTCCTCCTTTAGCCTTGTTCCTGGTTTCGGAGCAATGCCAGTTACTGATCCTAAGGATTTCTGCAATTGGCTATGATTCCAAGAGTCTCAAGGAGACTGAAGAGGAACTTGTCAATTGCATCAAAGACCAAAACACACTCTACAGGTAAGCCACTATCAGCTTGTTTATACCAAACATTAATGGTTTAACTTTTAACATTAACATTTTGAAGATTATTGGACGAGGTTCATAGCCTCATTTCTTACCCAATGATGGTGCAGTTCCTAGTCATTGGCGTTAATATCGCTATAACCTTGTTCATCCTGATATTCTATGTGCAGACTTTGGGGGATCGAATTTACTATGTCTGCTTTCTGATGGCACTCACTGTGCAGACATATCCCTTGTGCTATTATGGAACCATGGTGGAAAGTAGCTTTGCAGACCTCCACTACGCTATCTTCTGCAGCAACTGGGTGGACCAGAGTTCTACCTATCGAGGATACATGTTGATCCTGGCAGAGCGCACTAAGCGAAGGCAGCTACTCCTCGCCGGCAACCTGGTGCCCATTCATCTGAGCACCTTCGCTGCCTGCTGGAAGGGAGCCTATTCCTTTTTCACTCTAATGGCCGACAGAGATAGCCAAGCATCTTAACTCATATAAAATCAAGTAGTAGCACTAAACCCGAATAAGCATATATACACAATTGTTTGTTTGTAGAAATATCACTTAAATAAAATTAATTGTCACCATGGCTATGGAAACTATTTTGGGAATCAAGGGACCAGACTTTGTGATGCTCGCCTCGGACACAATGCAGGCCAAGTCGCTGGTCTTCATGAAAGATGGTAACTATATACAATTTTATGAAATGCCATAAAAACCGCTAGACCATCGAATAGATTTATTAATCAAATAGTTGGGAAATAATAATGTAAGTCAACCATTTGTTTAGATCAGTCAAAAATACACCGTCTTTCGGACTTCAACATGATGGCCACCGTCGGCGATGGCGGTGATACCATTCAGTTCACGGACTTCATTTCCAAGAACCTGCATCTGTACAAAATCGCCAATGGATATCACCTGAGTGCCAAGGCAGCCGCCCATTTCAGCCGCAAGACACTGGCTGACTATATAAGAACCAACAGCAGGTACCAGGTGGCCATGCTCTTGGCAGGATATGATGCCGTCGAGGGTCCTGACCTTCACTATATCGACTCCTATGGAGCAGCTCAGTCAATCAATCACGCTGGACATGGATGGGGTAGCATGTTCTGCGGCAGCATCTTGCAGAGGTTCTGGAACTCCAAACTTAGCCAGAAGGATGCCTACTCCCTGATGAGAAAGTGCGTCCTGGAGATCCAAAGGCGCCTGATCATCAACCAAAGAAACTTCGAGGTGTACGTGGTGGATAGCAAGGGATTGCGCAAGCTGGAAGCCATCAATCCAGGATCTCTGAGCAAGGAGTCGATTAGCCTGAGATGGTAGAAAGTACTCGGTCGTACAACATCCTCTAATGCCTAATAATTGTGCCGTTGGTTTTTTGGCAAACTTTCACTGTGATGCTCGAACAATTTCCCAGGGATTAGTTGACGTGACCGGCTTGGATTTGAGTGCCTGGGCGGAGGGCTAGTGGGTTTGCTACATGCCATGGTCGACTGGATTCGTGTATTAGCATATGTGGCCTGCTCTTGTTCTCCATGTGAGCCATCTGTCTGAATGTGGGCGGCTATGTATTTGTTTGCGCAACAACGACCAGAGTTGCACTCGTAAAAACTCGATTGGAAACTAGAAAAATATAAATTTAAAATATTAAAAGAGATACTTCAACGACATCTGATTTTTTATATATTTGAAGGAAGTCAAAGAACTTAACACTAATGTATAATGCAAATTTGTGACTTATGATTTTCTCCTAGTGCAGGCTTCACATATATGAAACGTCAACGGCTGCGATTCGGAAGCAGAAAAGCCAACATGTCTCTATTTCCCATTTGAACAGCAGTCCGTCAGGATGTCGCTGGTTTGGCTTGGAGGAGTGGGGAGTCGTCAGCAGAACTCATAAAAATGAGCACAGATTGCTGCAAAAATGCACTGCATTGTTCGTTGCTTAGTTGAGGTCTGAGTCGAGGGTTTTTCTAGCTGTCCTGCCTGCATTTTCCTGGATTCCAATGCTAGTCAGCGGGTTTTGTTTGTCTGCCAGCCGTGGCAGTTGCCATTGCTAATTGGCCGCACATGACAAAGTATCGCCAAATGAGTGGCTCGACCACTTGCGGTGATCGGAACCGTGAAATGTCAACTATGACAAGGGAGAAGGCTATGGCCAAGGATAACTGCAGTTTAGGAATTTAAAAATTGCTTTAAATCCCACAATTATTTGAAGGAAATGCTTAACTCATTCACAAATTTCTGTTTAAAACCCTAAATCTTCCAACTAGTTATCGTTTCATTCATTATATATTCTTGATATTTATATAGCATTTCACGTAATTAGAAACTATTTATGCCTCGTTGCAACACTTAACATAAAATGCACGTAAAACACACGCCATTAGAAATTAATTAGCAATTTATGTATTGGCAAAAAACCAGGTTCAATAATATTTATCAATCTCGTCATGCATAACGTTGATTGAAATTTAATTGATTTATGTGAAAACTAATAAAACGAGAGGAGCAGGAAAAAAGAGTCAGTTATTTCCACAGCTATCCGTTTTCTCTTTTAAGTTACCCTGTCACAGTGAGAACTTTTCTCCAGAAAACTTTTGACATGTGAGCGTCTCAAATGAACGCGCCCGTCTCAGGACACCTGTCTCTCCCTTTTTTTCCATCTCAAGCTGTGAAATATATTCACATCCTTGTTGGAGTGTAACTTTGGCTGAGGTGGGGAGTTCAGGAGATAATGTGCATGTAACCCCCAAATCACTCCCCCCCATTTGCCACCCCCATCCAAGCCATCGCAAACGGCAATTTGTGACGTTTAAGGGCGCAACGAGGCAGCGACTTCCTGACAGGACATTAACTTTCTCGCATCTTCGGAGTCGTTCCATCCGACTGTCTCGCTGGTTTCTGTTTTCTGTTTGCTGTTTGCGTGTGACGACTCTGATGATGATTCATGATGATGATCCTTGCAGTTTTCCTCGCTGTCATTTTTCATGGCCTCGGGGGCCATGGCTTGGGTTAGTTCCCTTTTTCGACAGCCTATTAGTTTTTATTATTTGCTGCAATTAGTTTTTCGGCCTCGTCGGCTCGACTGCTCAGCTCTCTTCGCTTATGACACTTTTCCCGGCATTATTCAACGGAATGAGCGTCATCTGTTGCCGCCGGCGATGTTTCCTAGTGTACACTCAAAAAAATTGAGTTAAGAAAACATTCTTTCAGGGAACACAAATAGCATTATAACGTTTTTATATATCTCCGTCTATAAGTTAGGTTTCCTATACATTAAGACCTTTTCTCCAAGTGTAGCTGCTGAATCTGCTGTTTCTCTCGCCGGCATTGACAAGAACCAAACAATGGCCCGCTGGCTGGTTTGCTGGTATCTATGATAAATTATGGCCAAAAGTCAAAGTCATCAATCAGTGGACCATGTTTTATTTGCCGCCCCGCGGCCATTCGCCATTTGTTTCGGGCCAAAACCAGTGGCATATGCAGCCGGAGGAGGAGTAGGCGGAGCAGAAGCGACCAGAATGGCCAGAGCGGCCAGAAAGGATTAAATATAAATCGCAGATGCGTAGACGACGGTGGCACAGGTGTCGTTGGCCGGGCGACAAGCATTTCGATTTAATTTTCATTAAAATTCAGGCATTAAATATGCAAAGGGTAAACTGCGGCAACGTCCTTCTGCCCGGCCAAAGCCCATTAAAATTCCTTAAAGACTCTGCCGTCGGGGCCAGGTGACTCCTTTTCATTCTCGAGCGCTTATTAAAATTGCAAAGGTCCAGGATTTGCGGACATTATGATGCGGTGGCTGCGAATTTATGCCGGAGCGGTCGACATCAGCTGCGTTTTCGTTACTCGGCTGTTTAATTATGCATTTTTATCTGGAAGTCGTTGTGGCAAAGGCCAAGTCGCTTTTGCTTCGAAAAGGTAAGCCGCTGCCACTTTGCCACTTGAGGTATGAAAACTATAAATCTATGGCGTAAGCCAGAAATAACCTTACTGGAGCGTGAATAGGCGGTGGCTTCTAGCTAAGTGACAGACAACCGCCAACGTTGCGTTTACGCAACTTGTGATTGGAAGCTCATGGTTGAGCTCATCCACGTGTTTGTGTATCGATTTGCTGATGTCGCCACCAGGAGCATCGAAATTCTTGACAATTGACAACTAAATTGCAATTAGGAGCTGGGCCAATCCTTTTTTGCCTTTTTTCCAACAACCTTCGCCGCAAGATTGCTGAGTAAAAGGGAAACTTTTTTACGAGAAACAGCCACACGCACTCGGTTGGATGGAGGTTTTAGTTATGCAGGAGAAATGCCTTGGGGAAATTAGCGAAAAAGGTAAATGTTTTACGAAAACATTCGTTCCAATAGCTTTGTTTCGGGCACGCAGTTTATGGCACCCAGTTACCTCATTTAAAAACCTTTAAAGAACTTTATAAAAAACAGAGAAATAGGTATTATTTTATACTTTTTTAAGCTTAACATTTTTATTATCAGTCATTAAAGAACAAGCTCTGGTGTATTCCAAACTGCCTATCCTTTCCTGTAAATGTCCCAAAAAAAGTTTCTATTCTCGCGGGGCGAATGCAGCCACTGACAAAATTACAACATGCATTACAGTCGCATCCAGTCACCGATAAACTGCCTATAAATCACCCACTTGGCCAGCGATCGCGTCAATATTCGCCTCTTATGCAACCAATTTTATTTCGTTGCACTCGACGGGCATAAATCACGACTCCTGATGGCTGAAGCGACGGGAAATTGGGTGAGGATGCTGTTTCTGCAACAAAATGTCCCGGCATTAAACACCAACGATGGCATAATTTATGGGAATGCCGGATTCCAGGCTCGTGATGCCCGGAGACAGATGTGACATCAGCAGTGACCATCGTGGCATTAATGCTGCCCTCCAGCCATGAGCTTTCCAATGCTAATGGATTGCCATCTCGAAATTAAAGAGTACGCCTCTGTGCGCTTTTGAGTATCTCCTCGGGGGGAATGATGTACGGTGAGTAGTTACAGGGCGCTCTAATGATGTTTTTTAGGTACATTTTGAATTTTACATTTGAAAAAAGTAAAGGAAACTGAAGCCTGCATTAACAGCTCTCAAATATTTTCTCACCTCTTCCCGTAGATCCTTTACAACAGTTGTAAGCCAACATTTTCGTTCAACCATTGTTCGGCGAAAAAGTTGGAATACGTCCATGCGATGAAGTCCTTTTCCTGCATCCATTGCGAGTACATTCATGTTGATAATCCCTCCGCCTGGGTACTTCCACGCACTGCAGTCGAACAAAAAAAAAGGAGGTAACAAAAATAAAGAGGGACGGTGAATAAAAAGTTGCAGTTAAACTTTTCAGCATTTGTCAGAGTCAGAGGATTTGTTTGCCTTTGGGGCTGGCCAAAGCCAACATCCTGGGCCTGCTCCTTCGCCTCGAAGGATATCTGCCCACAATCGCTCTCCACTCCGTTTGTTTGTTTGTTTATTTTGCTCGTTCGTCCCACTATTTGTTTTCTTTCCAATTTTGTAATTTCAAACTTTTTCTATTGATTTCTTGGCACGCATGAACACCTTCAGCAGAAACGACAGCCAGCAAAGTTGCCAAGTTCCCTTGAGAGAGGGGTGGGGATTCAATTTAAGTTGCGGGGCCTCCCCCAAGATGACCATGCGTGGCAGCAGTGCACACACAGGGAAAAGAGAGGAGTCCATAAAAATACTAAAACGAAACGAGGGAAAAGAAAATCGAAACGGAGGAGGAGAAGTGAAGGAGTGAGAAAAGTTTCCAATGCACTTAACACTCTGTTTCGAAGGCGAAGGATGGAATCGAGGAAAAACTGTCAGTGGCATTGGCAACACATTTATTAATGTGTCAATCGGATTGAAGACTTTCCAAAGCCAAAGGAAAACGATAAAGTTTTTAGACAGAAAAAGATCCGTGGTCAGGATTACGATTTTTGTTGCGACAAATTAGAGAAAATTATTTTTGGCAGTTTCCCTTTTCCGTTAATAAAGGAAGATCCTTCACTTCAAATTGTATTCAGTTAAGTTTCTATGGTTTTAGATCGGAAAATAGTAGATTAAAAAGATTTTCTAGCAAAATGGAAACATTAGGATCCACAAAATGATTACATGACCCGTCCCCGATTCCCAGACCCGAAACCCATTCCTCCATCAATTGCCAGCCGCAAAGGAATTGTAATTATTCGAATTGTTACTCGTCGCTTGCCTAATGACTATTAGCTAAATGAAAACATTGCGTGCCGGCGACATTTTATTCCAGTGCACCACCAAAAGCCCTGAAAACCACCCGCACCACCGAGAGCTTTATTTGCTATATTTCATGCCTGCCTGCACTTATCTCCGATTGTCCATCGGGTGGGTTTTGGGGGTCTCAAACCCAGGACTCCGGAAAATGTAATTTGGCTTGGTCGGCGCTTCGATTCCACTTTATGTTCTAATTACTTGCACAACACAAAAACGCCACTTCAATTTGAATTAGAATGAGTGGGCACCACCGCCTGCGGAGGTTGTTCCGATTCCGCCTTCCCACTCCGCCTCTGGATCCCGGTTAAACCCTTATCCTGGCCACAGTTGGCGCCACAACTTTTAATTACAGCAGCGCAAAATTGCAGATGCACTACCGCGGTCTGGTCCCAAGGCCCCACTTTCAATTCCATTCGTATTCCTGGTCCTATTCCTATTCCTATTCCAAATCCCCAAACCGAAACCCTATAGCAATGGCCGTGGCAATGGCAAATCCAAAAAGCATATTAATTGCGCACTGCGTAGGCGTCGTCCGTAATGGTCTATAATCGATTTAAGCACGGGCATTATGTGGGCTAGGGTCTAAATTGCAATTTCGTGTATGACAAATGGGTTTTGGGGTTTCTAGAAAATACACTGGAAAATCAAGCATAACAATAAAGTTATATATAATGAACCACTAGTCTCTGTCATTGGAAAGTGAAGACCAAATAACGAACTACTTTTATAAATTTATTGATTTTAGGTCTTTATTTTAAAATATAATAAAAATCGAATTATTTTGCAAAGTGTATTAACTGAATTTGCAAAACAGGCAGGACAAAGCCAATGAAATTTAAATCGAGTCAGCTTAGGAGCTATTTTTGCACAAAGGGAAAACCCAATCGATATTTTCCCACTCGTCCAGTATCTTGGCTGTATATCTTTGGTTATTTGGTTATCCCTCACGAAGTTCCCTTCCAATTAGAAGCTGTTGCGCTTAGCTATTGACCATCAAAATCAGTTCGATGAAGACAGTGGCCCCCAATCTGCATGCCCACAAGTGTGTGGGTGGATGGATGGGTAGCAAAGCGCCCGGTGGTTCCGTCTGATATATAGAGTAAACCACCCAGGGCTCGTTATTGTTGCCGCTGGCTTCGCCGTCAATTGCAGCTGGTGGTGGTGGCTGCACCACAAAATTCAACGCAATTTGTAAAATGAAATCGATTCAATTGATTGTTGACTTCGACAAACACACACACACACACATCCCGAGTTCCCTGGATTGTATAACCCCCACACACACACACACAGACGTTGGCAGCAGGCAGGGCAGGACCATCATCCTGCAACTAAGGGGAAGAAGAAAGGTATACGTAGTGCAGGCGACGATGGTGACAGGTGTCTGGGGGTGGACGTGTTCATATCCTTGTCGTCCTGCCATATACATATATACATATACACAGTACACAAACGCGTGTGTGTGGGCAGTGCACTTTGCTTGATTAAATTTCAATATTTACTAAAATGTCGCCGAACTCTTTCTGACAGCTCTGTAAATTTCATAACCGGAATCGACATAAAATATGGTCAACTGGGTGTAAATACGAGTATAAGCTTGACAAGCGCATAAGTTGACTGAAATGTCCCGCTTTTTTCATCCAGCGCCTTTGTTGCTGGTAATTTGTTATAGTTTGTCATGTGCTTACAGCAACAAATGGGTTACAGCCATCTAGCTTTTATGGCCAACTGATATGCGGGCTTTGAAAAGGCATCAGATGGCCAAAGCAATTACTCAGCCGGGTGAAAGGCAGGATTAACGTTTTGCTTTTGCCAATCAGAGTGATTCATTTGCATTCATAATTCCGAATTATAAAAATAAATTAAGGAATATTTCATCGGTTATTATTTATGGATAACCTGATTGATAAATAAGAGGCAATAAAACACCTTGTTGACGGAATGCCGCTTGAGTTGGGATTGTTTTTCAGGTATTGCAAATAATAAATGTTAAGTAAAAGTAAACATATCTGAAAAAAGAAGAGCTATCTGCAAAAATATTCAGTTTTCTGGCATCAATATGTTCTTAGATTATGTTTCAGTTTTGCTTTTGCCTTCACATTGATGATTATAAATAACAAACACCCGGAAAAACATAGATCAACGAATTTTAAATGGATTCATTATTAAATAAATTCACGGGTCTACACCTCCTGGAAGATGATGACGAGTGGGTCTTTAGAATTTCATCTTAATCCTCTTTACTTTTTATTAATTAACTATCTACAGGAATGAAGAAAAAAGGATTAACGAACAGCTTAACGTTAAGATATCCAATCTGGATAAGTTATTGGATGAACTTAACATGACTAATGAGAACTCTCTAAGAGGGGACTTGGTCATTAAACCATCGATGACAGAGACTGGTTACTCCAAGAAATATCCCTATAAGAACTACTTCATCAACTGTCCCACAGAATTCCCGTGGAAAAAGGCCATGGAGAGCGGTGAGCCTATGGAAACTGATTTAGATATAGACTATGAGAATATCTTTGATGACGTTGGTAATCTCACCAAAATGGAGAAGCAGCTACAGTTGCTCTACAGACCCTTCACCTGTACTCTGGAGGTCAGTTGCCGATTCAATATGTATGAGCTATGCCTGCTGATGGCCGATTCTCGATACGATCCGTGTAATCATCCCTCTGTGGTCATTAAGGTCACCCATCCCAGTGCCCAGGTAAAGGTACATGCTGGTGGGAAAATTGTTTCCACCGCATTGAACGCTAATTCCGCGAGGACTGCACTTTTTAAGGTAGTCAGGATCCTGCAGGATCTGGACTATAAGGCGGACATGAAGAACTTAAGTAGGAGCATCGTGAATGCCTCCTTTAGTATGCCCTTTAAGATCAATCTAGATTTAATGATCAGTCAATGTGCAGAGGAGGTTACCCATAACCGGAACCAACGACCCTTCATTACCTACACCACCGATGTAGTGGGCGTGAGATTTGCTGTCTTTCCTACAGGATACATATTGGTCCTTCATTCCAAACAGTCACTTTGAAACGCGTGAGGCCATAGCTGCGTTTCTTCCAATTCTCGCAAAATTCAAGAATGGTTGTCCCTCGATAATGGAAACGAAGGGATCACTGGTAGGCGATCTTTCCTACATGTTGCTCTGGGAAAAGAGATTGGAGGAGGACAAAGAAGGCTTGTTGCTTTATTCTTAAAATAGTGTTTTTAGGTTTCTATCTTGTTGAATTTTTGATGTACAAATTTAACTAATTTACTTTTAATCGGAATGGAGATACCGAGAGTCCTGCTATCGCTTTGTTTCGTCGTGCGAAATGCTTCGAGCATTTGTCATAAACCAAAGTTCTGCACGTGCCCTGTTTACACTCGCCGGGAAGTTGGGCAACTTGTTTAAATACGTGATTTATTCGGTCGCCAGCTGCTGAGCGACCACCTGAACAACCAGTGACACTCCCACTCGCCAACCACTGGCACTATTCGGCTGGTTATGGTATATGGTATGGCATGTATATAGCGCCTATGCCCGGGGCCAAAGTTTCGCCAAACACTCGCAAAACAAAAACAAGGAACAAATGACCGAAGAAGTTGCAACTGCGAACTGCAACAGGCGCATACATAAATAACGAAACATTTTCGCACACTTGCCGCAACTTTCCCGGGAAAATGTCACATTATGCGGAACAAGTGGCCGCCTTAAACACGTTTCCGACGTGCCACAGCACCTTTCCAAGGGCTCTGGACTTTTCCCCTACAACTTTTTGGGTGAAAATATTACGGGAAGTCATACATTTCGTATTTGCGTAATTACCACAAGTTGAATGGTTGGTATTGATGTAAGGAGAGTTTAGGATGTGAAATAGAGGAAAGTTAAAATAAGCAATCATTCTAACACAAGCCCAGTTAAAGATACATTTATATATTTCTTTCTTACGGGCATTCGGTAGATACTTTACACTAGACAGGCTCTCATTGATGATAACTTTTTCGTATATTTTCAAAGTCTACGGCAAAACTTTGTTCATTAAATTTGCGCATTTCTTGCAATATCAATTGGTTGGAATCTTTAGCATTCCACAAGAAAGTCAAAAAGTTATCACATGCACATATAAGAAACTCTAATGTGCCGGGGGATATCGAAATTGGACAAAAAGAAATTTCGATGGAGGGCCAAAATAATACGCAATTTATCTATTTTTAGTAGAGGTAGGCAAACTTGGATGGCCTGAAGCGCTCTTTGGCCAAAAATATGCTTGGAAAAAGCAGCACAGAAAGTGGAGGGAAAACTACCGATACGATGCGATGGGAATCCGATTAAAAAGTTCAACCATCAAAGTTTACGAAAGGAGATGAGCGAGTTAGGGATTATGAATTATGCATTCTTGCCCAAGGACTTTTTGCTTCAAAGCTAAAAATTATCCACTCGCTCGGCTAACGAAAAGGGTTGTGGCTGCCTTTGAGGATTAGACAAGTTTCCCAAGGAGCCCTCAGTAACTGTTTTCGCATTTATAAGTAAACATAAATTGCATAAGGAGAGAAACCGTATTGAATTTGAGATGAAAGGAGTGAGGATAAGGTGAACTCCACTTCTCATAAGGACTTAATAACTGTGTGAACTACTGTCACCGGAGCTGCCCTGCCCATTTCCATTTTGTGTCTGCGGTTAACCGCAAAGATTTTACTCTCAAAAAGGTGTCGCAAATGGACTTTTGCAATTTTAATAACTACTCAAAGTGGCAAACTGGTTCGTTAACTAGCCGTACACACACACATTCCTGTAGTGCCGCCCGAAGGTCCTGCAGCACCGAAGGACTTTCTGCATATTTAACCAACTTGAATTTAAATGAAAATTAATCCGAGTCCAGGAGCTGCGGCCGCCCAGTCCGCAAATGTGTTTGCTTTGAAAAATGAAACTGCAAACGAATAATTGCGTATGGAGTTTCTCCCCACACGTAAATGTTTTATTTGCAGGGATTGGTTTACCTCTGTAAACGAAACGGAAAATTTTTCAATCAATATAAAAACCAAAATTGTGAGTGCACAATGCACTTGAAGGAAGTGTTTCCTTTCTTTAAAGCTTTTAACTTTTAACTTTTAAAATCGTTTGGAATAATTTAGGAAATACTTTTCAAAATATTTTACCCCTTGTCAATGGAATGCGTATTTCTTAGAATCGGAGGGTGGAAATACATAAATCTAAAATTCCAAGCGCCAATAAATTTTCATTTTGATAAACCCCCGTAAGCCTTTTCATGGCCAAAAACAAACTTCTGTGATTTATGAAGTTCTCGGCTACTGCTCGACTCCTTGGGCAATAAAACACAGAAGCCCATCACTGCCATCTATGGACACGATACAAAACTTTTTCTTTGTAACGCCCCCTCATAAGTATTCTGATTTTAAAGACTAGATTCGCAGAAACCAAATATAAATATGAATCACTAATCTTTATGGCCATAAAAAGCGAAAAAACGAAAAGTTTTCTCGCAAATAAACCAAAGTGTCGATGCAAAGATAAAAACTGTTCAACTGTTAATAAAATTTTCATAAAAATCAACGATTTAAATTACAATAACATCGTCGGTCGTTGGCCGTTTGGTCACAGCTTGCCCTGATGTAAATCCATAAACAAAATGAGACATGTTCGCCCTCTAATGTTGCTGATTTTCGCCTGCTGCGAGGGTTATATCCGGATAACGATGGGGGACATGTCATCATGCCTGACATTTGCGTCAGCTGGCGATCAAAGTCAAATTAAATTGGAGCAACTTTTCGACGTCACATATTGTGCCTAGAACAAAAGAAATTGGTTAGTGCCAATTATGGATTTTCGTCTAGGACGTGACCAAATAAATAGAGAATATTCACAGAGAAATTCAACCACTTTTTGCCATAATTTAGCTAATGGAATAACATACAGGCGATTCCTAATCCCCTCATTATATCGAAATTTATTCACAAATGCATCTATCTAATTTGCATTTACATTAATCGATTGACTTTGGGCCTTATTCATTTATTAATGTGTTAATTAGCTCAATTACTGCACTGGCTAACACTGCGTATGCGCGATATCTAAGCCTATGGTTCATAATTTAACCATTTCAGTTGTTTGGAGAATGTCGACCACTCGATACAAACGAAAAAGGGAAATACATTTATTGTTTATCAAAGGAGTTACGTTTTCCATTTACGGCCTCTGCTGTTTTTTCGATTTGGGTTCCTTTCGATATGTTAAGAAAGCAGGAAGGCTCAGAAAACACCACACCAGCTGGCAATGGATAGTCCTCGCTATGTGCATGAAATTAGCTATACTCAGTTTGGAAATACCCTTTATTCTGGTTACTATTGGCCTTGTTCACTACTCTGTAATGGGAGACTCGAGTAGCTTGACTGAGAACAACATATACTACTGGGTGCACTTGGCCTCGCAGATGGCCATGGCCACTATATCCACCTTACGGCTGCTGGTTCTAACTCACAGCTCGTCCCACAGTGCTTTCTTTATATCCATAGTGAATAGAGTTCTTCAAATGCATCGTATGATAATGAAATCCTTTGGTGATAAATACTTATATTCAGATGGGTCGCTGGTTTGGCTTTTCTTATTAAAAATTTTACTCACTCTACACCATATAGTAGCGCAATATACACCACACGAAAAAGTATTAATAAATGTTCGATATCATACCGTGAATGTGATCCTCTTTGAGCTGTTTTACTGCTCATATTTCCTATATCAATTGCTACTTCTGAGCTGGCAGCAAACTTTAAATGCTTTTGTGGAGTCTTACTTTGATCTTGTGAGGAATAGTCAATATCCCAGTTCCGATTACAGCCGAAAGCTAATAGCTGTCTTTGATATCTACGCTGAGATGGGAGACATCCATTATCAAGTGTCGACTGCTTGGTTTAGAGTCTCCTCTATGCTGTTCATCAGTATTTATTACACAGCCCATGAAAGTACCTACACTTTTTACTGTTTGTCTTCCATGCCCGAAATGCCTATGATTGATCGAGTTCGCTTGGTAATTTCTAAGAAACTGGGTACCTGTCTTCATCCTCTGGTTGCTATTTTACTCATGGGAATGGCCAGTGATCGATTGAAATACTTTGAGGCCCAGCTTTCTACAAATATCTTCTTAGTTGAACTCCTTTATACGCCTGAAGATCATTTACTTTTGCAAAAGTTCGCCAGACTTATCAGCTGCAAGGTGAGTTTAAGATACAAATTCGAAATGGTTTAATCACTTTATTTACTTACTTAAAGCACCAAAGTCTCCTGCTGCAGCAGCAATCTCAACCTATTCGGAATTTCATCTGGAACAGGGGATCCATTTGCGATCGAACTTTGGTATTCGAAATCTTTGTCTACCTCATCATCAACGCCACCACGTTTCTACAATTTTTAATCAGTGATAATAACAGTTTTTGCGAAGAAGGACTTTAGAGATTATATATTAAAACCCATTGTTATACTCATTCAATGCTGACCAGATAGATATAGATAGATATACCATATATCGAAACTGAAATGTCATTCGACTTGGTCATTTGTCATTTTCTCGGACAGTAAAAGCTATTTCCATAGTCATGATTCAAAGAAATATTCTAATGATTAATAGTTAAATAAAAAGAGCTAGAGCCAAATCGAATCAGTTCGAAATAACAAGGCCAACATGAAGTCGTTGGAGTGCTTTACCCGCCGTTTCCTTGACATAGTATTGTGGTTACTGTGCCTGGTTCCCCTGCCTCCCATTTCCAAATTGAGATGGCTTTTAGTGTCTCTGGCGATTCGTTTCTGTTGGATTATTTACTTGGTTCATTTGCTGAAAGTTGGTATCAACTTTACGTCAGAGTCTGTCAATAGTGTGGGAAATGTTGTTGGTACTGCGCTATTTATGGGAAACTCAGTATTGGGATTTTTACTTCTGCTGGAGAGTGTCCTCAAGCACGGAACCCACAGTCAGCTGCAGGACTTGCGAATTGCTTCAGAGCTGCAGCTGCAAAGACTTGGAATGTTCGGAAGACGTCGTCAGTCTGGATATCTGTTGCCCTTAATAGGTGTCCAGTTTACTTGTGATATCGTGAGACTTTTGGTCAATCACGGGGGAGATATATCTCCCGTCTTTACTATATGCTTGCCACTGATGTGGATCTTTAGGTTTCGATATGCCCAACTGGTGCAGTATGTTATAGATCTCAATCAGCGGTCGGTTCAGTTGCGGAGATCTTTGCTATGCTTGGCTTCTGGAAATGACTTATGGCAGCCCTACGGTGTTCACGAGTGTCATCAACTCCAGACTCTGCGTTCTACCTATGAAAGGATCTTTGAGTGCTACGAAATGTTCAGTGACTGTTATGGATGGGGAATCCTGGGACTCCATTTGCTGTCTAGTTTCCAGTTCGTGACCAATTCCTACTGGATGATCATGGGTCTTTACAATGGCCGAAATCTGCGTTCCCTGATCTTCAACGGAGCCACCGGAGTCGAGTTTGGCATTCCCATTGCCACTTTATTTTGGCACGGCGATTCTGGGGCAGAAAATGTAAGTATAAGCGGGGTAATTTGGAATTTGAGGGATCGTAAATTATTAAGTTGACCACCTTTTTTGTCTCAACCTTTAATATCTATTGTAAATCTATCAGACAATCAATCAGGGTTCTATATATGTTTCTGGCAAATCATTGCTAATTAACACTGACAATGACGGATAGACATTTTGTCAAGAACATCTACTAAATTTCCCTTCGATTAATTCACTTTTAGTAATAATGTTTCCTCCGTCAAGATTACAAGTAACCTCTCGAGTGGTTCTCAAGTTGTTCCACCAGATTTTGGTGGCATTTTCCCTGAGATCCAGTAGACTGTCACGTTTGATTCTCTGGATACGGTTTCTAAGTTGGGCAACTTGGTTTACTTTTATTTGGGCTCAGAGTGTGGTTTATGCCCAGTCGATAGACTGCAATCTGGACTGCATACTGCGTCATACGCTTACATTTCTTCAGACAGTAACTCATGCTTTCATTGTGGTCATGACATTCCTCAAGGGCTTCCGACCTGAACAAGACCAAATGGATGAAGTGGTTGTCTTTGAGGAGTCTGATCCCTGGGTGGCCTTTACTTTGCTGGCAATGATGCTGCCCATTGTTGGCGTCGAGTTTCTGGTGTATTGGAATGCACCTGAGTATGCCTATCGGGTGATTATCTATCACCTTAAAACTCTACCCAGTTTCCTGGCTCTGCAGATGCAGATTATATCCTTTATCCTGGAAGTCATGAAGGTGAACATTAGAGTGCGACATGCCAAGCTCCAGCTTCTGGTCTTGGCCAGAGAGCTATCCAATCGTTGGCCACAGTCTAAGCAAGGACCCGAGTTCCTGGACCAGCAAATCCACCGAATCAAAGACCTTAAGTATCGGTACAATGAGCTCCATCGTCTTTTCGATCGAATTAATGGATGTTTTGGAGGGAGCCTTCTTACCATCATCATGGTTTACTTTGCTCTCTTTGTGTGCAAATCATATTGGCTCTTTGTGGAACTTCGAACCAGTCCCCTTAGGTTCTATGCCATTCTCCTCAACTTGGGATTTATTTTCAATGTTGCCCTGCAGATGTCCGCTGCTTGCTGGCACTGCCAACAGAGCTACAACCTAGTGAGGACACTTCATGGATAACTCGATATGCTATAAATATATAATGTAACTATTTTTTCAGGGTCGTCAAATCGGTTGTCTGATTTCAAAGTTGGTTAAACCCAAAGGCAGCAAGAGGTACAATGATTTGGTTAGCGAGTTTTCCCTGCAGACACTGCACCAACGATTTGTTGTCACCGCCAAGGATTTCTTTAGTCTCAATCTCCATCTTCTAAGTAGTGTAAGTATGTTATATGAAATATGCATTAATAATTACTTCAATTCCCTTTCAGATGTTTGCAGCTGTGGTCACCTATCTAGTCATTCTTATACAATTCATGTTTGCTGAAAGGAACTCCAAGCGCTGATGGGGATTGGTCATAAAATATAAAAATATTTAACATTTTAAGCATACCTTCAAACATGGCTTTATGAATGTATTCTTTTTCATCCAGTCCTATCAATAATAGATGCTTATGAAACATAAGTTTCACATTTTCATTTCCCAAATGAGTCTGAGGAGTTAGCAAGTTCAAATGGAACTATTTAAATGTTCAATGATTTAATTATGAAACACACATTCCCTCGGAAACAGACAAACTAAGAGCATTTCCATCTTTGTCGCAGCTCTTATAGGGGTATAACCCTAATTATTTATGCCGCCCACGACTTGGGAGGGGGCTGGGTTTTAGGTTGCTAGTGGGCCCGAGCAGAAAGTTAGATTGCGCAAAGTTTTATCTTCGTTTTTCTTAAGCGCATTTTACAAGGCGAAAAGGATGAGAAAGGATGTGGAGGCGGCAGCAAAACTACTTCACGCATATTAAACTGACATTTCACAAGCAGAAAACTTTTTCTAATATGCAAATTCATGGCGAATGTCGGGAAGGGGGATGAAACAGCCGCACATCCTTGAATTAACACGTGCGAGTTCGCATTAATTTGTGTAAACTGGTGTTGGAACTGCTCGGGGTTACTATGCGGATATAGTAGAGGTCTGGATCTGCGGATCTGGATCTGCATGTGTCGGTCGGTAGTGGTGCTCGAGAGGCAGTTTTTGTCGTTAGCTATGCAAATGCCGGGCCATGTAAATATTATTTACCGCACCAGCAGATGCTCAAGATGTAACTATGCCGCCACTTCTGCCCCAAATTAGCATATAACAACTGTAACAGGCGCTTATAAATATTTATGAGCCTCCTGGATTAGCACTACTTGCTATGTACTCTTTTTGCTCGGTAAGTTACTCAATTTTAGTCAGCCAATAAAACAGGGCCACTGAAATAATCTAACTGTTGATAAGAAGTCTTACCTGTAGGCAGTTCAAAGAAGTTAGTTTAGTTACCTAAGAAGTTTTTTGTATTCTGTCAAAATGCCAAACCTTTTGCAATACTACAAATATCCAACCTTCTTAATTAAGCCCTTACACGATACTAGCAACGCCCTTCCATCACTAAGTTGTCAAAAATGACTTGTCAGTCCAATTGAATTTTCTCACAAGCTGAAATCGAGGTGAAGTTTTTAATTATTTATAATTTATATTAGCATGTTTGTAATACCTTAAGAAATAGTAAACTTGGAAGTTCTAATGGATGCCAAGCGAATCTGGGAGTCGATGGTGCCGCATCAGATCGCTCCTTTGAAGCCACTGGACGAAATAGAAACAAAGTTGGCCAATGTCTTTAAGAGGAATCATTACATATACTCTTCTGAAGTGACGGAGGACATGGATATTATCCAGTCGAATACCATTTGCAAGAAGTGCCTACTCTTCACCCTCGTCTGCCATAGCCTGGGTTACCATGAGGAGGAGAAGTCCCCGAAGATCGATCTCCTGTCAGTTGGTAGAAGATATACAAATTAAAAAATTCCCAACTAAATGAGACAATCCTGGTAGTTTCTAAGAGATGTGGAGAAGAGAAACGTTTTGTAACCGGAAGTTAGATAATTTATAAAGGGAATATCCAGACCTAATTCCTAAGGTACCGAAAATCCGTCAACATCTCATAAACTACTTCAGAACTCAGTTTTAAGCTCTTATGCAATTGCCGTTTAAGTTTTCGGGTTGGTGAGGGGATGCTAATTGCTTTTTAGTGAATTGTTAGCCAATCCAACTTTTAGGACTAATAGAAACTTGCATGCATGAATATTTTATCCACTTTACGAGCTGTTCAACTTTTTTGATGAATTCCCAATTTGAAGGAGGCTTTGTCTTCTCACACAGCCCCGGGCAACGAATCATTTTCCAGCATAGTGTGTGGGGAAGTTTTTAAATATTCATAAAATTTGAACGGACAGAACTTTCGAAATTAAATTAGTCAAATGAACAAAAGTTCATTTACACTCCACGTACGAGGCTCGGTTGTCCATACTTACAGAAACCATTGTATGCGTCTGTGTGTGTGTGTGTGTAACAAAGCCGAGCTCTAAAAGTTGGAATAAATTACTAATTAATGCAGGAGTGTTCCATATTGGGTAATACTGTGTGAAGGCAGGCTACCTCCCACCGCCCCATCCCATAATTCAGGCCTCTGTTTTATAGTTGGCAATCTATTGCGATTTGTTGGCCCGTTGGAAAATATGGTTTTCCCCCTTTCTGCATCGGATGGACGCAGTGTGCGAAAGCGAAATTGAAGTTTTATGCTAATTTCAGCTCTCCATCTCCCTCTGCTACCCAGTGCTCCTGTCGCTCTTTCATCTGGCTGAGCCCAGGACCTTATCTAGTTGTCGGGTCCTGTCAACACAAGGCATTACAAGGCAATTACGAATTTGTTTATGGCTCTGAATCGTCTCGTCGACTTGCCACTTGGCCACAGCACTGGAAGATCTATTTTGCTGAAGATGGATATTCCTCACATCATGGAAAAATTCATATGAAATCAGATTACGTTTGAAAGGAATTTCAGGTTTAGTTAATGGAATTGCCTTTTCGACGTATTATTAGCAAACCCAATCTTTGCTTCTTTAAATTGATGGAGATTTTTGTTTGTACTTACGTTATGGTAATTAGGACTATATCTTCCCCTGTTTGAGTTTTAAAGAGAAGGAAAATATTTAATTTTTAAGTATGAAATTACAACTTCTTTATATCATGCATGCTTTGTTTGCCACACTAATTCCGAAGTAAGCCTTGGATCCTCAAGCAATCTAGAGTTTATGACCCACACCCAATCCCATATGCAATCATTTCCCAGCCTAATGTTCTTTTCCAACTTTGTCTCCCAGATGAAGAATTTAATCAAGAGCCACTCGAATTTGTTGGGGACACATGTACATATAACTGTAGTACACATGGCCCATAAGTCAAGCCTAATAAAATTCCACTCTGCCAAATTCGAACGACAAAAGTAATCTCCGAACTCTCTTAGCACCACAAGGAAAAGGCGGCGTGAGTGGGGTGAAAAAGTGCGTCACTTAAAACTTTTGCACTCACTTGACCAGAAACTTTTATTTTCCGTTAGCAAATTTCCCACGGGTAAACCGGCGATGTAATTTTGGCAGACCTTGTTGCGACCGAAAATCTCAGAGGTAATCAAAGATGGTTCAAAGGTCAGGCACATGCATTTAATTACTTGGTATGCTCGAGGACCAGGAACTGATCCGGCTCAAGTTTCAGCCTTGTTAACTCGTCACGGGGTAATAAAAATGGAAAAGTCAACGGGACAAAGGAGAATAATGAGCGCCGGGAAAAGGGCATGCGGAAAAAAGAGGAAAAACTAAATAAATAATTCAGTATAAAATGTCAGGAGAACTGGGAGCGTTGGCCAGGACAACAAAGATGTCTCGGGAAGTCGTCGCCTCTCAGATGCAGTCAAGGAAGCAATTGTATTGTCTGACTGCTGTTTTCCACTTTAGTTTGCCACGCCCCAATCTGAGACGCCACCCGTTTGCCACTATCCAAGACAGCCACCACCACCCACCGCCTCCATCCGCCCGCTGGTAACTTGTTGACGTTGATAGTCGTACGTGCCGAAGGTGAATGGCATCTGTGGACGCGAAATTGAATTCGTGCCTGGCAGTTCCCTTTCCCTCACAACTGGATTGAGTCTCACAGGGGATACAGGGAGCTAGGAACTGGGAACTAGGAGCTGGGGTGATGGCCAGGATGTGTCAGGTGGCTTTACCTGCTGACTTCAATATTTTGTCGCATTACGTTGACAATTTAGATGTTTGTCTCGCGCATTCTCGCAGGATTCAATTTGGAGCAAATGCAGCCCGTCAGCCAGCCGGGGAAATCTGCAAAGTTAACAGTAAGCCGGTAAAGGAAAAATAGATCTGGGAATGGTTCCCTCCACATGGGAATGGCTACGTCCCATCGAAATGGGAGTGCTAACATAAAAATCAGTCGGCTATGTCCTGGCCCAGTCATTCATTAGAGTTGTAATGTCCCTTCTAGCCAAGCAATTCTTTTCCACAACAATGGGACTTTATAGCTTGGGTCTTGCTGAGGAGAAACGAATTCGGAATGCCCTGTAAGTTGTCAATATCTTAAGCTCACGAGTAAGAAAAATTCTTTTAAATAAGTGCATTATCCGGATTACTTGATATTAAATGCTAAAATATAAAATATTACCATTTTTCGTAATGCGGTAACTTGGTCCAGGTCATAAACCGCATTTTGATTCCATTTCCAGTTTTCAGCCCGTAAATGCTCTTTTCCACAAGTTTAAAAATTGCAACAATTTTTTGGTTTTCGCTCTAAAAATGTCACTTACTGGGGAATGAGGGTTCTTCAATCCTTAGTCCTTAGCCCACCGCCCACTTGCCGCCACGCCCGAGATTGTAATGTGACTGTCGCTGGCAGCCACCCACCACAGCCACCCTTCAACCACCCCAGCTAGCATTTCATTGTTGTGCTTTTCTTTTCCCATTTTATTTATATAATGTGTCTCGAATGTGTGTCTGCGGGTGTGGGAGAGTTTTTCTATCAAAGCGCAGGAAACACGTGCGGGTAAAACATTTTTCAAGCTTTTAGCGCTGCATACAAATCAACCCCGAAAAACAAAAAATCCCATTCACAATAATTTGTTGAACTTCATAAGAGCCAGCGCTTTGGGTTAGTCGGATGAGATGAGAACTCGAATGGCTGGGTGGTTGGGTGGTTCAGCCAGCTGTTGCATTATGTAAAACCCCAGCGTAATAGATCTGAGAATGTGGGAAAATTGTACACGCAAATGCCAGGCGAACAGCAAACGGAAAAGGTCGAGCAAACACAGTGACGACTGTCAGTCTGCTGGTAGTTTCGCTTCTTTTTTTTATGAGGCTAATTGGGTTTTATATAATTTAAAGCACTTACTTATCAAACTTCATTTCCGTCTTCTTCACGCTGCGAGTTCCATATGCGAATGTGCCCCATTAAAATGCCACAAATGCAAATTAATTTAATTGAATCCAATTTGGCATTCGCATTATCTTTTTCATTGTTCCCTTAATTTTACAGTTGTGGTGGTGGAAAGGGGGGAGAAAGCGTGGTGGAAATTCTGTGGGAGGATTAACCACACAGTGGAAACTATTTTGTAATCCGGATTTATAAATTTATGCAAATGTGCGGTCTTATTACGAATAAGCCCTCATCCGAGACTTATAAGCTTATTATGATGCAGTGAATCTAAATCTATTGAATTAGCTAAAATCTGTAAATAAAAATCACAGCTTCTTGGAGGAATGTCTCGTATTTATTCTAGAAGTGCTGGTTAATCATAAGAAGAGTTAAATAAAAACAAATAAATTTAAATCTAGTTTAAATGAGGAGGAATTCCAATTTTAATTTTCATCGTATTCATTTGTTTATAATGCTGATTACTGTCCTTATTGAATAACTTCTCAAAATAACATGGGCCTCGTAAGTCAAGGCTGTTTCTAACAGAATTATAGCAAGAGGGGACTTTTAGCAGAAACTGTTATGGATAAGCGGATAATAAATGTTAGGGTCAAAGCATAAGGCTATATACTTTTCAAGAGTGCCAAATATGAAGAGCATATGTATTGAAGAATCAATGACATATATTTTATAAAAGATAGACATAAACATTTCCAACTTTAAAGAAGTTAATATTCTTTAAAAACAACTAGGCCAAACTGTTGCTCTATTTTACATGTATCCAGCACAACATTTCAAAATCCACCACTCTGCTAATTTACAGCTGAGTAACAGCGAAAGAGCGTGCGTCTGCGCAGGCGAATCTGCTGTCACGAGTGGTAAGTTAAAACGGCTCTCATTGCTCAATTCACTCGCTGTTTCGACTTCGGCTCTCCCGCTTCCTCTCTTTTCTTCATAGGATCGCTCTCTTTTTAACATAAATGTTAAGCAGTAGAGTCATCACGAGTGGTAAGTAACGACGACCGAAAGGCACCTTAGCGCTAGAGCGAGTACCGCTCTCATTGGCGGGGGATTCCCACGCTCGGGATGCCAATCCACTCGCTGCTGCCGCCGCTTCTGATGATGAGCGGCACTCAGTCTGTCTGCTGGACTCGAATCGCGTGGTGGACGCCACGTCGTCGTCGTCGTCGTTCGGTTCTCGGTTTTCGCCGGTTTTCTACCCAAAAGTCACGAGTTTACGAGCTTAGTGGGTGGTGATTCCACCCCCCAATAGAAACGGCCTATGCAAATATGTGCATAACATGCTGCAACATAAATTAAATCCGCACAAGATTCAAACTGAAGTCAAAATATTACAATAATTGGCCTGTTGTGGGTGTGACATCTGTTGGTTGGCGGCACGTGTGTGTGAATCCAATTTCCGCTTTCCTCAGTTTTTCCGGTTTTTCTTTTGTAGCTCCAAATTCGATTTACGCCAATTTTAAGTTCAGGCTAGGAAATCAATTAACTAAAGGTAAGGTCAGAAACGCCTGGAATTCGATATGCTTTTCCTTATTTCGTAACACAATTCCCGGAAAATGTACGGGTCGCTTGACAACTAAAAAAAGTAATTAAATTATAACAGATGAGTTCATAAATATCCCAATTTATTGCCTCCTTTCTGGGGAAGTGAACCATATTTCATGCAGCCCATAAGGCACATTTAAAAGTTAAAGCTCGGTGACTTTCTCTCGGCACATCCTGCGGAATTTAAAGTCGAGAGCAATTTTAAATTTATTACACAAATACCCCGGCAAGCACACGTATGGAATGCCATTGGATATGCGCATCATAAACAACGTCCAGCACCGGAACAGACAGCATATTAAAAATGTGACTATAACCTTGGCTTCCAAACGACCTGTGGGCGGTGTGGAGTAATACACGGCACCCATTCCGCCTTCCGCTTCCGCTCCCGAGTCCTGGTAACCACACCAAGGCCACAGCAACCGCGGACAATGCAATATTGCCAGTGGTGCCGGCTTACGATGGCAGAAAGTAAGAGAGTATCGAAAGTTAACTTTAATCGGGTATTCACAAATTCCTTCCAATCGAAATGATATAAAAACAAAAATAAGAACAAAACTCTTTTATTTTTAAACTATAAAGACAGTTGCTTCCTGCTCTGAACCTTTTAAGTCGTCCAAGTAGAGTCTTAAACTTTGTCAGAGAACATCCTTCTAGGCGGCTCGTTGAGCCCTGCTATCGTTCGTGTTTGTTGTTCGTTATTTTTACTGTACACATGACAATAACGCCAGCGGCGTGCACAGCACCCTCTGCATCCCGGGAATGCGATGCATCCTTGGAGGAGGTCGGGTGGGATCGACCCAACCCAGCAGAACCAACAGAATCCTTCCCAGCTCGGCCAGTTCGGTGCTTGTGCAATAGTTTCAAGTGGCCGGGCAACTTTTTCCATTATGAATGGTGCGGTTGCGCTTTTTTCCATCCATTATTTACGAGTTTTGAGTGCAAACTTGTTTCGCCAGCAAACAAGTGCCGGCCAGAGGATTAGAACACTCGCTCGACCGCTTTGGAGAGCTGGGCTGCCAAGGGGGTTTGGGTAGTTATAGAGGAGTCCCTGCACTAAGTGCTAAAGTTTCTGCCATAAGCCAAAGACAAAGCCACGCCTCATTCGCATAGGGCCAGCAGCAAATTGTTTGAATTGCAGAACTAATTTGACGCCGTCCAATTATTTTATTGTCCATATTCATAGCCTAGTTTCTGAGGATTTTGGCAAAAAATCAACAAAATTGTTACGTATAAAAATGTCTGTGATTAGGTAAGTTTCCTAACACCGCCAAGAGTCCAAAAATCTAAACATTTCCTTCGGTATGTCATACTCTATATGGAAAACTCCTTTAGCTACCATTACGAGTGCGATCAACTTTTATGTTCGCTTCACGTGGCCTTGTTTTTCGTGGACGGCAATTTTGATAAAAAGTTTCGAACATGTCTGGCGGGTCGATGCATTTATGCGTGTGCATAATTTTCAAAATCACTTGAGTATTTTGCGAAACAAAGTCAGAAGTTTCGCCAACTTGTTTCACGCACTTGCAGGCACTGCACCGCCCATCCGCCCAACTACCCAGCTACCAACTCCTGGGAAAGGCCAAACAAACCGCCACCCACCACCACCCCAATATCAGAGGCTAGGCCGTCGCAATCTGCCGCCATACACAAGTTCTCTCGTGCGGAGAGAGAATGTTCTGCATTCTCTGACATTGATAAATGATTTTCCCCCCGAAAGTTTAGCAGAAGAAAACCCAAAACAAGCGGGCCAACGGGGCGGGTGGGCAATGCTGGTTGGAAAATGCATTCATGGCAGCAAAATTGTTGTTGCTCACTAAACCGTGAACGGAGAACGAAGAAGGAAGAACCGAGAAAGGGGGATATGCGCCTGCTGGAATTATCGCAGCTCGGCATACTCGAGAGCCAGTGACAAGAGCCAAAAGGCAGAGGCTGGAGAAATCATAAATAAAATATAGAAGTAGATATGCACAGTATATAGAGCTCGTACTTGTGCCCAATTTAATTATCCTCGCCAGCCGAAAGAAGTGGCCTGGCCAAGAAATTTCATTCACTTAAAACTCTGGGCCGAAGTTCCTCCAAGCGAATGCAAATGAAAAACCACAACGCATGCTCAAGCCGAGTTTTCAGTTTGAGTTTTCCGCAATTCCCCCGCCATTTTCCGGCTTTCCCCCGGTTCCCGGCTCAACATGTAATTAGAGTGCGAGGAATGCGCGCGGTTGCCAAAAATGTTGTGGCCGTGGGTGCTTTGAAGTATATACAAACATCATATATATATAAAGCTATATATATATATATATATCTGTAGAAAATGTAAATGTAAGTCTCAACATCTGGCTGGCCGCAAAAGTTCAAGTTTGCTGCTTGTCTGCCGCCGGAGTCCTTTCTCGAGTGCCTTCGCCTGTGTGTAAATTGGACGAATGTGTCGTTATGTCGATGTGTTGACATCCAAAGTGCACCAGCATGACCAGAAAAAAAAGTAGCAAAAACTTCACAAACTTTACTCCAAGTTGGCCAGAAGAGCAGCCGTTGGATGGTGCGGTCAAAACAGACAAAGTTATGCAGTTTACAGTCTTCCTTTTTTTTTCAAACTCCGTTACATACTCGAGTGTGCAACAATTTAAGCCATCTATGACATTTTTCGAGCTTTAGATATATATATTTTAAAATAAGTTCCTCTCGTAACAGTCTGGTGAACTAAAATAGAAACAGCAGAGTGCTAAGTAAGCTGCACTGGAAAAAGTCTTGAAAATCAGTTTTCGAAATATTTAATTTATCTGCTGAAATATTTAAGATTTAAAGCATCATGTCGCCATTAAATTTAAACCAATAACTGGTCAATTACTATATTTAATAAATGCATAATCACAACTCTTACCATTAAGCATTTAAATTGTTGACGGCGTTGCTCTTCGAGTTCTGACTCTTCTCACTTGTTTAAAACGGATACCAAGCTCATCATTAATATCCAGCACATCGCACATAAATGTTGGTTAGTTTATGTCCATATTGTATTGGGTATACTGTGCGGAATAAATTGCTTTTGAAATTCCTGCTCTTTGTCCATAAAAAAAAAGGGGGGAAAATGTTGAAACGCATTTCGCTCGCTCGCATTATTAACGCACATAAAACTCACATATAAAGTGATTTAAATTTATTAAATATAAAACGCCACCACAGCGCATCGCACCACGCCGAAGATGCGAGCGCATAACAATTGCAATAAAATTTAACGTGCATCGATAAAAAGAATATCAAACCGAATAAAAACAACAACAACAACGGCTGAGCATAACGATCCCGCTTGGCAGAAGAGAACTTCATTACTTGTTTGAATGAATGGGGAAAGTGGAAAAAAAAATATATATATAATAAATGCAAAAAAGTTGAAAAACTGAAAAGCGGGGAAAACAAAAAGGAACCCATATGATGGAAAAAGCGCTCACAATGGGCTCGACGGATACGATGAACGACCGGCCGTATGCGTCCAACAAATGAAGCGAATGAGTCGAGCCATCAACAAAGGAGAGCGTTAAATGTTTTATATTTAAGAGCTGGCCAAACAACAGCCACTATGAGTGACTGACTATAACCATTTTTCTACTCTATGGCATACTCGACTCTGCCGGCCTCGTCATGAATAATTATGATTTTCAATTTAAAGAACATTTTCACACACAGTACAGGCTATTTAATTGCTTTTCCTTCGATCGAATCGATACAGAAATTGACTTGTCGACGCCGCCCCAGCAGAATGTTAGGGGTGGCGGTAAATTGGATTTCAATTGTTGAGCAATTTTAAGCTGCTTCGAGGAATCCACTTTGCCAGGACAACACAGAAAAAAATATGGCAATTTTTTGATATTTTGATTCAATTATTATCATCCGATTAATATTTTTTCAGTTCTCAGCAAAAGCTTAAAAAGATTCTTTCTGTGCCACAAACGATTTAACAAGTTTTTATTCCGGATAATAGTGCTAAAGAACCGTATATGATCCCAACACTCATCCATGAAAAAGTCGGATAAGCAAATCAAAAATGTGTATTTGCCTATTTTGCCTATTCAATGCATAATTTATGCGACAGGCGGTAATGTTATTATACCAAATGAGGAGAAATATTATTGCATTCCCCGATACACTCGCATATATAAATGAGTACCATTTTAATACGGGACTGCATGCAAATGAAATGAAAACGTGGCTAATTTTCTTTTCGCCTCTAAACGAAATCAATGGCAACTGTCAACACGACATGTGCCCCAGCACACCCCAAAAACTCCATTCGAGTCGGGGCTCAATAAAAATAATAAATAATAGAAAAATGCGCATAGAAATTGCCATTGAGATGGGTGCAGAAAGGGGGAGTGAATATGGTTGGGGCGGAATGTGCGTGACACTCGCTCAACTCATGGGCTTTTGTGGTTTTCAAAAAGAAAACAACTGGAATTGATAAGACTTCAAAGTACCCTGTACAAATATCATATCAGAAATGAGATGTTATAAGTTTAATGTATTATGTTCTTGTTTTATAAACAAGGTTAAGTTTTTTATATTTTTATTAATTATAAAACCATTAAAGGATACTTTCTAGTCGACTAGTCGATGGTATTCACGCGCCTCCGATTTAGATTTTAAAATTTGTTCTCTGTGGTCTCCTGTGTTATTGACTGCGACATTTATATGCCACCCAGCCAGCCAGTCAGACAGCCAGCCATATGCGCATTTTCACATAATAGACACTCGTGTGTAGATACATTTTGGCGGTTGGCATCCTGACGGAATTGACATCAGCAGCAATGACTATTGATCCGCGCATGGGGAAAAAGTGGGGCAAACGCGGCTGATACCCTTTCACTAATCAGGCAGCACATTTTCCATTACGCAATGCAAAACTCAAAAACAATAAAAATCCTTCAGCGAAAGTGGAAAGCTGCAGCAACTAACGGAAAATACAAACGAATTTCATACTAATGAATCGAAAATAATTGTGTGACATCAAACAAACAGCTCGATGCCAGAGATATTTAATAGCCAGCCGCAAAATAATTACCCCAAAATAATTTACTATGAATTTAGATACAAAGAACAAAGAAAGATACAAAACAAAAGCGGCAGCGCAATATAAATTAGAATTTGCTGTTTAATTGGAAATTTGATGCGAACTGTTGCCCCATCACTCCCGCTTAGACAACGAGCAAATTGAGCTTTTCTCAACGTATTAAATTTCATCAATATGTACCTATTATTTTCAGCATGAGCTTCATTATTTCTGAAAATAAAATGTGGACCCTGGGCAGTAGCTTGTTTCTCCTGGATTATTTTACAGGGAAGCGCGGTGACGGGGAAGGGGCAGGAGTAAGGATCCATCCGGTTTTGCCATCAATTAGATGGTGTTCTGGACAGACCTGCAATAGAAACCGACATTTTATTTCAAACAAGACGGGTTTCGGTGGCCACCGAGGTTGTTCTTCATTGTTCATTTCTTGGTACGAATAGTAGGAAAAATTGTTCAGCAATTCGAAATGTTAGATCGGGTAGAATATTAAAGAAAATCGCAATAAAACGCTTAATATTAATAAAACCCTTAAAACTGCATAATTTTCAAATTTAAAATATATTAAAAACCACTAAAAAACTTCTTTGCAGGAGATTTTAATATAAATTTATATTAAATTAAATTAATTAAAATTTAAAAATCTGGAATTTTGCTTCTGACTGAAAACACTTTACCGACCCTTTCCACTTTTGGCTTCGTCAAAGCCACACATTATAAAAACACTTCTATGCGCCAAAAACATAATATTTAATAAATAAATATTTCACATTTTCCTTGCAGCTGCGCCAAAAAAAAAAAAAAAACACACGTCCGACGAATCTAGCAAGGATCAACAGCAATTTAATTAAACCACAACGAATTCACTTGATTGCAAAACATGAATTCGCAAAAAAGCATCAGCAAATGTTGTTGCTGTTAAAATTCCTTACTTGCATAAAATATGATATTCATAAATTTTTAACATTGCCATTTGCGTTAATTAAACGATGAGCAATTCCAATCACCGGACCCAGACAAGGCCACTCGCTTAAAAATGCACACTCCCAAGTGCGTCCGTCGTCCGAGGTAAGTCTAAAAATAAACATAATAAGAGATATTGGCCACGTTTCGGGCATTCTTGAAATACAATATTTTCATACAATTATGTGAGCAAGAGGCGGGCGGTAAATTTAATAAGAGCCAAGAGCTTTTCTACACATTCAAAATATTTTGACAAGTTTTTCAATAATGCAATAAAGTTGCCGACTTGGTGCTTGGGGCTCGCCAAGGCGATGGCAACAACAGCGTCCAAGGACACTCTTGATGAAATGAAAATATTGCCCACAATTTGTTAGGTCCTGGCCGAGAACGTGGCCCGGAAGTGGGACTGGTCAGGACTCGGGTCCTGGCCATTTGCGGCTACTTGTTTATCTTCCTGCATTACTTTCTTGTTTCCCTCTCTCCGGCGTAAGAAGGCAGGAAGAAAGATTTTTCAATAGACCAGAACAGCGAACGGCCAACGCATAAACAAATAATAAAAAATAACACAGCAGCGGCAATCGCGACCCTGGCAACGACCTTTGGGCCACTCATTTGTCAAGGAGCGGGGGAATGGGGCCGAGGTCCAGGAATCCAAGAAGGAAGCCAAGAACCCGCGGCCCCAGGCATTCATCTTGGTCCCTCCTTTCCCTGGCAACCAAGACATATGGCCGCGCTCCGAGCAAATCGCACCGCTCCCAGTGACCAAAACAAATTAAAGCCCCACTTTAAGGCACAGCCAACAAATCAAGTCTTCTAGCCAACTCGCCAGCTGGCCAACCAAAAGTAAAAAGCAAACCCTGGGACCCAGCAAATTCAACCTGACACCGAGAAACGAGCGGCAGGAGACAATTTTTACAAGATTTACCTGACCGGCATAAGTAATCAGACTCGGTCCAGGATCTAGCGTCCAGCTTGGGCCAATCGAATTCTAAACTATCGTCCGAAAACGATTTGGACACAATACTCAAATCGGGCATCATAGGCCAAGGACACGAGGCCATCAATCTGTCTGGGAGTTTAAGGATGTTCCCTGAAAAAGTATCATTGGAAAAACTCCTAGAAAATGGTTTTATGCAGATAATTTATGAAGTCCTATCAAAAAGAGGAACATATTATGTTTACTTTAACTTAAACCACTTTTTTCTAGGGATTTCAATGTTTGAAACTTTATTCTTCTGAATATTTAAGGTTCCATAAAACTAGTTTCATTATCAACTTAACATCCATTCTTAGCATTTAGAGAGCGTTTTCCAACTTCCATTCAATAAAATCATATCTCTCACAAGAAACCCATTCGAATGCAATAAACTGCCTCGAAAGGTAGGCTATAAATTGTGGAACAAAATTAAAGTTTAAGAGTTTCGAGGAACTTGAGCAATTTCCTGACCTGAAACCTCGGCTAGCCGACAATGAAATCGATTAAGCTGTCCATGTCCATGTACACACTCACATCCACATTCACATCCTCGTCCATGTCGATGTCGATGTCCTCAAACATTTGCAGCAGCAACTCATTAAAAAGCATTAAACGCCAGGAACGGAAGTCATTGAGGCTATCAGACGGAGACACGCTTCCGTTTCTCTACTTGAACAGTTCCCTCTTTGCTGCTGTTTTCCTTTTTTTTTTTTTTTGCCTTCTCCGGCACAGATTTACGGGCCCAAAAGTGCGTAAAGAAAGAGGCCGGGGCGAAAGAAGGAAGGAGTTCGTCCGTCCGGGCAGAGATTGTCACCGGGCCAATGGTGTTGGAGACTTCAAATGATTTATCGCCCGATAGTTGAGTTCAAAAGCGAAAAGCAAAGAGACAGCCGGCAAGGACTCGCCCGCACAAATATTTATTTATAAAATTGTTATCCCAACCGGTGGCAGTCCTCTGTTTCAGTCCTTCGATTCTTTTGGTCCTGGTCTCGAGCCGCGTGTCTTGCTCATTGCCAGGCATTCGCTCATTTTCAAATCGGATTTTATCAACTGAATGCCATTCTTGTGCAAATATCTTATCTCGCTGCCGCACCGGATAATGGCAACTTTTTCCCGATGCCGCATTTGCTTTGCGTTCATCTCTGCTCTGCTGTGCTCCTTTTGGCTTTAGTCGGGGCTCAGCCTCGGCTTTGGATCCCCCGCTTTTGTATGGCTTTGGAATTATTTCGAAAGCGGAAATTGATTTTCCTTTCTTATTGTGCACGGTTTTTCGTGTTTCTGTTGCTTTTTCTTGGCTTGCTTTGCTTTGCTGATTTCCCTCGACTCCTGCGACAGAGCTCGCTTTACATATAAATAATTTGGCCAAGAGAAGGGGGACTCCGTCTCCTGGCATTTGTTTAGCCATAAATGGAAGCTCACTTTCCCTTTTTTTTCGCCCCCCTGATTTTCCCCTTGCAGCGCCTCATTTGGCGCTATTGCGATGATAATGCGGCGATGATTAGAAGCCCCGAATAGCTGAGCGCAGAAAGTCCTTCAGCAAAAGTGGATTTAAACCCTTTGACGATTGAATTCGTACTTGGAAAAATCGGATTTCTTTTTGGCATTATCATTAAATATTCAATAAATGCTTTTTAAACTGAATGCTTTAATGCTGAAATGCTTTTATGCTGAAAGAACTTTAAATTTTCCACTTATTTTATTTTATTTTATACTACAAAACTACTATTTATTAGTAGTAGGAAATTTAAGGCGCCTTTTTTGCTAAATGAAAAGTTATCCATACGCAGTGTGGACACAAAATGAAGAGCTGCTCATACGCAACGTTGGCACTCAAGGGGTTAACCAAATTTGGACCGAGGAGCACAGCGTTTCTGGGCCAAGCTATCAGTGCTCCTGCCCAGACCTGGGCCATTCATTCTCGCGCTGGTGTCGAGCCTAGTCCGAGGTCCTGGTCCTGGAACACAGCCCCGTATCCTTTGGCGCGTCTTTGACATTATGAATGATCAGCATAAATTTCCCTGAGCTCTCGCGCTCCAGGGCCCAGCTGCAGATGCTCCGGCGAGCAAAAAAAAAAAAGAAGGAACGGAAAAGCGGGGCCATGGCAAACGGAGCCAGATAACTAGCGAACAAAGTGAAGGACGGCTCAGAAATTCATTTCATTTCATTTCCTTTGTACGTGAGCCACATTTTTTATGCAATTCCCTGTAATAATTCTCTTGGTTGTCGCCTCTTCACGCATGAATATTCAAGCTTCGAGCGAGAGTCCCGAACGAAAAGCCCGGCTAATGAGACTTTCTATGGAATTTGAACATTTCTTAAACCCAAATCGTGTCCGGATTAGTTCATTCACGGGGCCCAGAAAATGTTTGGCCAACAAACTTGCACAATGAGCCCCAAATAAGAAGAGAGAGAAAGCAAATAATGTCAAACAAAAAGGGAGATGGCCGGGGCAACTCGGAAAACTAAATTCAGTTTACATAATATTGCTCATAAAATATTTTTCGCACATTCATTGCCCTCTGGCCCGAAACTAGGCCACACTCCAGTGCTTCTCAAACACAATTCGGGCATAAACAATAAAGTAAAACGACAATGGAGACGACGACGAACTTGAAGGCAAAATAACTTGAAACTTGAATATTTACATATGAAACGAAACCCACCCACGCGACACGAGCAGACACACACACACACACACCCAGGGAAAAATGTGGCAAGCTCTGAAGGCGGAGAAGGATATGGATCTGGGGTTGGGGTTGGGGTTAAGGTTGGGTCGGGCTTGAGTTCGAGACTAAACAGCACTAAATTAATTCTGCACAATTTGCATTAAAATATGCAAATAAAAAAGTAAAAGAGCAGGCGAAAAGGGGGAAGAGACCGTTTAAGGCCTCCCCCAAACTATAAAAGGATCCATCCGGCGGGCCATATACCATATACAGTCCCAAAAGTAAGCGTTAAGCATATGTGTGCTTGAGTTTCCTCAGCAGACAATGGTGGTTTGGGGGAGTTTGCCTTTTAAATTTCGAATGCCCCGTTTACCGCTTTAATGGGCTCGAAGGCCCCGGGAGAATTCCCAGTCCCGGACCTGCATCGGTTTTTGGCTTTCTTACGGCTGGCTCGAGTGTTTCGATTATGAAAGTGCCACCCCGGCCGCACCACATCATTGCATGCGGTGCAGCAGGATGTGCTGCAGGACGGGTCCAAGGAGCACAGCCACATGTCTGACTGGCTCTCCGGAATATTACACCCGGAGAAGCTCGTTGCAAATTTAATTGTTCTTGGAGAGCGCGTGCTCCGTAGTTGCCGCCAAGAAAACGGGCTCCAAAGAGCCCGGAATATGGGAATCGTGAGATGGGGGATGGTAGAAGGGCCCCGGGCGTCGGCATCCAATGAAGCATGAAACTTTAGCACACTTGCAACAGTTTCCCATTTTTTCATACTCCTTTTCCACCAGCTTTTCCTATTTCTTTCCTTTTTTTTTTTTGTGGAAAATATGTTAGCTGCGACTTTGGTAATCTGCAGTGGGTGGTGTATATCCCTCATATATATATATATATATAGTATGTACATACATATCTAGAGAGAAAAATGGATAATAGTTGGGGAAATGCGTGCACAGTGAAGGGCAAGATGTTCAGGCCGCCACAGAGTATACACCTCAAGGCTCATGTCGGTCGATATCTGTCTGAAAAGTATTCGAAAATAACGGACAGGTATTAGTTTCTCCTGCATCTGCATACAAGGTCAAAAGTGTAAATAATAATGAAGTGATTAAGGATTTACGAGTATACCAATGTCAATGTTAAGGGACATTTGATAAGCCATGACCTGTCTAATGTAACTTAATAACTTAATAAATAGTTGATGAAAGCCCGACCTACAGCACAGTCAAAATACTACTAAAAAATTCATTCCAGAAGTCCACCGACTGACTCATCTAACGAATACCTTTAGTCCATTCACTCATCTACAAATTTCAATTACAGTTCCGTTTCCATACATATATATTTATATATCTACGATTTCCCCATTCATAGAGACACCATGATTAATTTGAGCACGGACATGTCAATATACACACATGCGGGCTGGGCTATGGTATTACCTTATTGCTACTCTTACGAACTGG